CCCCCCCCATCCCTGCTGCTGGACTTGAACACTACTGCCGGGTCTAGACCGGCCAATTCGCACAGTTCTAACCTCTCGGGTTTCGTCACTTCCAAATCTGTTTCCCAACAAGTCTCTGAAACAATTTCAACCGCTTTCTCCATCTTCTCTTCTTCCACCATATCTCCGTTCTGGAGAAGGACGAGATATACCTGTTCAGCTGCGGCCTTCCGGATCTGTATTGCAAAGGGAAAAAACAAATCAAAATATAATACGCAATGTAGTTATTGTGCAGAAAAGTGCAAAAAGAGAGACCTTTGGGTACCGATGGCAAAGGAAGGCCAGAAGCTGAGAGAATGCTCGCTTGTTGTTTGGTTCCGGCACTGAAGCAATGTAACCGAGTATCGCGAGACCAGTGTATAACTTAGTGAAGTCCTTTGAGAGTTTTAGCTCAATGGCCAGCGAATCCATTATGCCAGCATAGAAGCTCGATGTATAAGCCTGAAATTAAACAAAAACGGAAAACGAACTGAGATCAACCAGAGAAAACTGCACTTGCCTTCAAGCCAAATACTAAATTGTTTCGAATACCAGTGAAAGAACAACATTATTGATGTAACTATAAATTATATATAACCAACCTCCCGATTCAGAAAGATCTTGCTGCTGAAGAGGATCTCGATGGTCTGGAAAACATAAGGAGGGTTTACACACAGATTGCAGACAATATGTCTATCAGTGAAAAAGGAAATTAGTTTCATCTAGAAACAGTTACCATATGTGCATATTATTATTACCTTCAAACACGGAACAATAACTCTCTCACATCTCTTGTACTCTTGGAGAATCCATAGAATGTCGTCACATAGCATAGACTCCCTGGATATTTGTTCGTCACCACCATTTGCTTCACCCTCCCGCAGGTAGTCCAATAGTGCTGAGAGTGATGCCTTTCTGAGCGAATCTTGCAATCCTCCAACCGAAACTACTAATCCAGACATCACTGCCTTACTAAAGCAACTGAATCTTAACAGTTGGACAAAACGTGGGAAGGTGAAGGCCGGTACCTACAAGAGGGAAAACAATCGATAATTCAGATAGAGGCCTTGGCAATTTTCAAAAGAATCACAAGTATGTTGCTTCCTTACCCCCCATTCTAAATTTGGTTGCCTTGGAACAATTGCTTCAAGTTTTTCTCTGTAAGGTATGAAAGGGACGAAAACGGTCTCATGGTACAAAATCCTCTGAAGGCCCTTTGCAGCAGCCTCTCTCAGTTTATCCATCTTCTCTACCGCTTGCTTTACAATCCCTCCAACCACACGAGTGGCAAGATTTGAATCAAAAAGCGAGGTTGTATTATTATCATCGGTACTCACTGGAATGATCGAGTCTTTCTTACAGAGGATATATGTACATTTCTCGATTCCGTACACTGCAGCCTCACGAACCCAAGAACCGACATCACCTCTGTTATCAACTGAATAATCATCAAGAGCTTTCAGTAGAGTATTCATCACTTCAGTCTTGATCAGCTGAAAAAGATACAGTTTATCCATTTCGGGTTGCGGGTCTTTCGTAAGCGTCTCACAAACAGATGTGAGTCCTTTGACAGCATTCACACGAGCCTCAGCATCTCTGTCTTCAGGGTTCTCCTGCTTGGAAGAAAGATCGGTTCAAAGCCAAATAGCCAATAATATTTCATTCTTTTTCTCGAGGAACTTACAGATTTATAAATGTCATGTGTTGTCAACTTTTACCTCAATCTCACAAGCACTGCATAGCTTCAAAACAACATCCTTCCACTTTGCAACCAATAAGTTGTATGACAAGACACCTAATGCCAGTGCAGAACCTCTTCGAGCAGCTACATTCGTGTCAGTTAGCAGTTTAAGATGCTTTGATATTAGATCAACGGCTTCGCTACTACTACCAACGAGATAGGATTGCACAAACTGTTTAACCGCATTGACGGCAGCATTCTGTGAAACCAGCAAAGCTCTTTAATTCGCGATTTATTGCAAGAAGATGAGACAAATGACCCCATGAAATTAAAGACACACCTGTATTTGAGAATTTGGATGTCTTAGATTCTCGGAGAGCGTACCAAGCAGGAGCTGTTTTGTTCTCTCTGATAATGGCACATGAGTCAACGAGATACACTCAATAAACCGGGAGACAGCAGATCGCATTATCTCTCCACCCTTTCCACGGTAAAGGCGTGCTTTCTCAATAGCAGGGACAATCCCAGCAATTCGTTTCTGCGTACCTGTTAAAATGAATGCTTCAGGAACCTTGATCATAGAGAGGAAAGGTAATGATGACAATGATCAATCCTGAACTCGTTTTGAAAAACAATAGTATTCTATTCCCTACTAAGAAAGGAACCTTGGAAAGGGAAAGAATAGTTCGACCAATATCTGCAACAATAAGATCAAAGTCTCAAGGTGTTTCCACTTCTTTGATTTCTATACTAAAAATGATCTATGCTTAAACGCAATAATACTAAAAAAGCTAATGCTGAAACAGATGGTACCCACCAGCACAAAGGACATAGGCACATTGATGCAAAGCTACCACAATCTCTCCAACTGCCAAAGTCGCACCATGGCGCATGCACAAATCAGTTGAAAGTGTGCAAGGAATCAATTTTTCCAGCACATAGTTTGCAAAGTGCTCAGCCTCATATTTCACAAGAGCAGCGAGAGCTTCCGCAGCAAGTTCTCTCAAACTCCTATCCTGAAAACATAAAAAGCAACTTCTACCATATTCTTAATGGGTGGTTGAATTTGGAAATAGTCCTAGAAAACACAGAGAAAAGCCTTTCGACTTACCCAGTGTATTTAGTTTTGCAGGGAAGATAGATTATAGATAAACATCAAACTGAAACAAAGCCTATGATTAGTGAGCATACCCAGTGGCAGATCTTGCTGTTTAGCAGTTCATACACAAATGGGTAAAGATACCCTTCATATTGTGCAATCGAAACAGCAATTTGAAGATAAGAGTTGGCTCGAGATGAAAGGGAAAAGTAGTCAGCTATGTTCACTATGTCAATTCCATGGGGATAGTTTCCTTGCCTTCCAACATTCTCTTGAAAAGCAGCAGCAGCAGCCCTTCTACAATTGACCTAATTGTTGAAAACCACAAAAACAATTATGAACATGGAGACACTGGAGATATACAAGTAAGAAAAGATAAACAAAATGTTACAAGGGAAGGGATTAGCACCTCCCTATCATAGCAAGCCACAGACAATAAGTCTGGAGCAAGCTGATCCAGCACGTTCTTCATATCTTTGTGGTAATAAGCACGGCCAAATGCCCAACAAACATAAGCAGCTGCATCACGCACATGAGAACCAACACTATGTGGACCTCTACGGACATCATAATGGAGTGCCTGAGAATTATACAAATATGTAGAACTATATGATTCTTGTATCTAGACATGATCCAAATACCATGGCTTCACATGCAATTCCTCAGAAAAAGTAAGAAAGATTATCATGTATTGAGAGAACCAACCTTCACAATGACGGGGACAACTTTTGGTAGACTTCTGGGCAACAGCAGCCCTCTACGAGCAAGTTCAGCCAAGGCTAAGCAACCCCCATGCCAAGAACCATCACCCTGAAGTCATGAATATCAGAACTATAACAAGCTAGATAATGTCCACATTTCATGGGATCCCGGTACAAGCTATTAGCCATCCATATTATGTAGGTACCTCGCCAGGTGAAAATAGCTCTAACACAGATGACAACACCTCTTCAGAAAGACCAGATGTTAGACGTGAAGTTACACGACCTACACCCTTTGCAGCAGACCAACGAACGACGGTGTCCTATATGGTTTAACAGACATTCAGTATAACAGAGGGCAGCTGCAAGCTTCACATGCCAACAATTCATATTCACTGTGATGGGGTGCTTAGACCAAGACTTAAGTTTATTTGGTGTACCATTTACTAAGAATTAAACAAGATCTATTTCAGGGTTATCAGGCTACTCCAGTCAACATGATGCGCAAAGCAATGTGCTTGCTCTCAGATCATCATGTGTTCATTTAGTCACCGAGGACCAGTAGTAGCAAATCTTAATCTGAAATCATTACAATCTCTAGTTACCAACCTAACAGCAAGATCTCACCCTTCGGACATACCGTGTCCCTCAAGCCAGAGAGTAACATTTCAATTATCTCTTCTATGATGTCTGGAACTTCCATGTCTTCATCTTCCTCATTTGATATTTCTGGTTGTGAAGAGATGGCAATGGCAGTTTGATCAGGCTGGTCAACCTTTTGAGATTTACCTACAGATATATTCTCAGGAAGAGAACTGGTTCTGCCCTGCATCCAGACAATACCAAATCCATAAGCAGGTCTCAACCGCAGGGATATGGCATAGTGACTAATCAGTAACCACCAAACGATATGTTCAAAGGAAAGAAATCATTACAATAAAAAATCTAGGTTCCTGCAATAAGATTACACTAAAAGGTATGTACCACATAGTGCCAGGAAGGTGCACGATGTGGAAGACAAACAAGCCCAACCCTCTGAGTTAACTTGATCAAATACTTGCGGAGCAGAGGACTCCTAGCTGCTGTAGCTGATTTGCTAAGGATGGAGACATCATTCCAGACAGTAGGAATCACATCTAGCAACGCCTTCTGGCTAGCAGTCTGCCAATGAGTTGATGACATATAAGATCCAGACGCTATATGAAAAGGTAATGCGCTAGAAGGCAGGTGCATTTCTTTATGACATATAAACTATACACATGAACTAAAAGGATCAGTTTATGGATATCTCAGGAAAGATGTGAAACCCCGCTGACGTGCTTAGTGGTGTGTCCTTGTGATAAAAATAAAGTACACAACTTCAAGTATGAAACATATACCTTAAAAATGGCAGCCAATGCCTCCATCACACCAAGTAAACGGAAATGATTCAAAACATCATCTGCCTGAGTGGATAATATCTCATGTGTCCACCCAAGAAAACTAAAACAGAATCCCATAGAGAAACAAATAAAAGTTAATATATCGGTAAAATCAGAACAATTCAGACAAGTAAGCGGATAAACAATTTACAAGAGCCAACTCAGTCTTGTTGATGAAATAGGCAGCTAAAGAGAAATAATGGGACCATGTATACACATAAAAGCAATGCTAGGCACAGACCTTGCAAAGGCCCTTCCCATATCCGGACGTGCTAGAAGCCTGGAGAGAAGCAATCCGGATATAGTGCGCATAGGGCCGGCACTGCAAAGATAGTCCTTACAGAAACCCAAGATCTTCAACACCAAAGGAGCCACGTCGTTCTCACCGAAACCACTGCTATTAGCAATGCTCGTATCGACGGATGAAATATCAAATGGAACCAACACAAGGATTGAAAGCCATAACAATACAATACATTTGGCCTCCATCTCACCGGTGCTTTCCTGTCTCAACGAAGTCTTGGAAGTTGCACTATGGCACTTCTCCAGGAGAGACACAGCGAGTTCCAGATCGGAAACTTGATGAGGGAAGAACCTGATAACAGCTTTGTACCCACAGACCGTAACTAGAGTATAAATTATGATACTTATCGGCTTGATTACTTCAACGATTTCATCAGATTCCGCACCTAATTGTAGCGTTTTAGACCTGACTATTAACATTAACGGAGAAACTACGGCCTCCAGGTATGGCTCCACTAATTGGCCTTGCTCCTGATACTTATCCATCTGAACAACAAGAAAACAACCCAAATTACATAAAGGAAATTTCAAAATCGCCGGGTATGCGAATCGATGAAGAAACGTACGATGGATCTGATCTTCTGGACGGAAGATGGATCGGCGACGCGGCCATTTGAAACGATATCGTCAAGGAGCGACTTGACGAGCTTCCATTCTTGCAGAAAGTACCTCTGCAGAACTCTCTCTTTCGAATCATGTTCATCGTCTTCCCCCTCCCCTCCATTCTCCAACGCCGCCGATGGCCTCTCTTCCTCCGGAGCCGCCATTAACTGTGCAGTATTCTCCCTCAACTTGGGATTTCCGACAGAACGAGATTCGAGCAAGAGTGATTAATTAATATTAATTCCCGCCCTTCAAATTTTCGATCGCGGACCGATTTTTAGACGAAAGGATTCTAACTTCAACTTTTTAACAAGGGAGAATTCTGAAGGGTTTCTAATTTATAAACTCTATACTTATAAATTAGAACATATCTGAACTTGTCAAATTTTTTTAATAAACTCTAAATTTTTGTTTTATCTTTTAAAATCTGAATTTTGGTATTCATATTTAAATAAAAGTATATATTTTATAAATCAAATCATCTAATTTAATTCTACCATACCACCCAAAAATATAGATCGGGAATCGAACATAGGATGATACTTAGAACTAGAACTTCCGATCTAATAAATATTCTTACATATTTTGTTCATCTCCCTCTGTCCAAAGCCTGTTTCTTCCTTCCTTTCTGAATAACAATGGATTCGACTTCAATAAAAATCGTTCCCATCACGTTGGAGAAAATTATTTTTATTGGTCTAAGGCTATCAAAGCTGTTTTCAAGAGGTGCGAACTATGGTAAGGTGCAAACAGAGTTCATGCTGCATCCGTGGAAGAAGAATGTGATGCAACTGGTACAAAAGTGACGACCGAAGCCAGCAAAAAGGATAGCCTTGCCTTAGCCATCCTGCAAAGTTCTCTTGACCCGAGCATCCTCAAATCCTTCATTGCCCCAGAAACGGACAAAGCACTATGGGACGCATTGGCAAATGTCTACGTTAACGTCAGCATCATCTTTCGATTCCTATAGAGTTTTGTGGACATTCAAATCAGAAAACTTTCACAGGCGAATAACGACGTGTGATAAATCAGAACGACAAGGGACTTATATCGATTCAAATCAAAAAATAAAAACAATTATATATATATATATATTAATTGTTTTTATTTTTTTATGTGGCCGTTTACGTGACGATTAATTAGAAAACGCTTTTACCACGTTAGATTTCCGTAACATTTTTGACGCTATTGTTTGACTCGAAAAATAAATTTGCTAATTTTTAAAATATATTTATTTATTTGCTATTCAATTTCGGTAATAAAAAAAAATTATAAGTTATAAATGTTGACGAATAATTCTTTTTTAAGGGGATTCTCCGAAATGAAACGTGAGAAGAGAAATCGCTGGGCCTATTGGAGACGATCATCGTTGGATTTTCCTTCGTGGAAACGGCCACGCAAGCAAATCAAAGCATTACAATGAAGGAGACGTATTGACGATGGTAAGGTAATAGCTTGTTTGATTCTGAACAATCAGACTAGACATTGGTACCAGACCATAAGTATCATTCAGACACCTTCATGTCCGAGAGATAAACCCGGCTCTGAATCACACTGCCACCAATCCAAAACCCAGGCATAACCATGAGACCGACTCTTGGACTTTGCTCCTCATCCATAACACAATTCTTCACAATGCTTTCCATGTACACATCCGAGAATTCACATCCTTTTTTCACTTGGAAGATCTTGGCAGCCGGGTCAAAGGAATAGGCTAGCCTGTGCAGAAGCAAGACCGACTTAGCAAGTTTCAAGAACGCCTGGTAGAATGCAGTTCTTGGGTGGCCACCCCCCATAACGTAGTTTCGCTGGTCCATATTTCCAAAGAAAGAAGCTTCCATCTTCGGGTGGATCAGGCTGAGGTACTTGCTCCTGCAAAATTTACCGAAAATGGAATCCGGGTTTTGACCTAGGGCATCAAGTGGATCCATATCCTTTAGAGCAAGAAACTGGCGGAATGACCCTTCTGCATCAACTGATGAACTGTCTGATTCGACTGAGAAATTTTCCTGCCGAAACCCAGAAAACATCCTTTGGCATATGTATGACTCGAATGCATACTTCTTGTGAGCCCTCTTGGCATAAAAAACATCAGCTTCAATACAATTGGCAGCAGAATCAAGGTCCCATCCAGCAGCTTTCATCATGTTAATCAGCGGCTTGGAGAAATCATGGACAGCCTTAGAAACAGCTTCGTAGAATGATATGAAGAGCTCGGGGGTTAAGTCAACAGTAAAATGTCCATTACCGACCACAAAACCTTCTGATTCTCTTGTGGACAGGCCCCTCAGCTTCAGATTCTTCTCAAGCTTTGCCCGCTTATGGTTCGCTTCTTCGATCTGCTGTTGCAGCTGTATGATCTCAGAGTCCTTGTTCTGAATCTCCGACTGAAATTTCTTCACCATTACTTCATATGTCTTCAGGAGGCTTTGCTGCTCTTGGATCTCTGCAGCTAATCGAGAATCTTGAGGGGAGACACATGCAGGTTTTGGGTTATTCTCCCGGTATAAGTGCTTGAGTTCTGAAAGACTCTTGAGCTCAGAAATCACAAGCTTGTCTGCTGACTGAATCTTTTCAGGATCATAGGGTGTATGAGCAGTTTGAAGCTGGATATAGGCCGATTTCAAAGATGAGATATTCGTAAATAGTTTTGAAATCAGTGCCTCCATTGCTTCCGGCTTCTGGTTAATAGATTCTTCCATGGGTTGAGGATGGACCTTTTGGCTGTTGGTCTCACGGATTTGGGTATCTTTCAACCCACCAGGTAGCATAGCTGAAACCGACAACAGGGTAGAACAATCTGGATTCCTTATACACAACTCAACAAACGGGCAAACACGATTTGTTTCATATCAATCCCAGGAACAGCAGATTCCTGCAAACAGAAAAACATAATCAGTTATACAAGAAGTGGGTCATTCAAGAAAATGTAATGCCAATAGATTTGCACAGCATATGGAGGAAAACTCTGGAATGAAATGAAAATTTCCAAACTGGTTGGGAGCAAGGTTTCCATTTTAACCAACGTTTTGCCCCACTAACGCTCCTGAAATGAAAATTTCCCGACAAGTTCAAAAACCTGCAAGAGACTGCTGATTAACCTCGGTACTTTGTCCTCTCACCATTTCTCTTGAACTGCCTTCGTTTGATTACGGATCTCTGAAACGAATCAGAGTACAAACAAGGGCTTTAACGATTCCACGGATCGGATGGGGAAAATATATACTCTGACGGGGAATGATGAGAATCTACTCAGAGAATCATAACACTGCGATTTCTGGAAAGCATCTGAATGCCACTGACTAAGAAAACGTGGAAACTGAGGAAACTTTGAACCCTAACGACCTACCTAAGGCGGAAACTGAAAATTTCCCGGAACTATCAACAAATTTGCTGGTCTGGCCGGCAGATAGACAAAGAACAAGACTGAAATTTGATCTGAACTAGAGAAGAAGATCGAGAACAAGAGATCACCTGATTTGTTCCGTGGGGTAATCAGACAGAAGTTTCACGATAGCTAACCTCTCATCAGCTTTCACGCCAAGCAAGCGGACACAGAGAAGTTGTCAGAGCGCTCCGCCGGATACATCTCCGGAGATTTAGCCGGAGGACAAGGAAAAGAGAAAGGAATACTTTGGTAGTAATTGAACTCAGAGAAGACGAGACAGAGGATAATGTTCTATTATTTAAAACTACTCAAACCCTCTACCTCGTTCCAAAGGTCCCAACCTGCGAAACCATAACCAGCAGAAGCTTGTGAGTTCAACGTTGTCGCTTGTATCTTCTTCGTCTCCAGCGAATATTTTCGGATCCTGTTTTTCCCGTCACCATGACGAGAGTATCCTCCTTACCAAACAACGAAATTTCGAAGCTTGAGAAATTGGTGGTAAGCTGAAACTTCGTTGGCATTCCTTGTCTTCTTGTTTCTTTATGAGAAGGCTCATCACCTAGCTGGTTGTTTCGATAGGACTGATTATGATAATTCTTTTTCGAAAATTTGGGTAAATACCGTGTCCGAGGTTTGAAGGATCGAAGAAAACATTTAAAAAAAATCTCGAACAGGTTTTTAAATTGTAACAAAAAATGCGGAAATAAAATGCATACCCGAATCGTATATATCTTTGGTTGGAAACTTGGAATCATGTTGATTTTCTCCTCTGTCGCTAGGGATATCAATCGGCCCAGCCCGACCCGAATCGCACTTGGCCCGACTTGAATTTTTTTGGGCCTACACCACCGAGCTCGAAAGCCCAGCCCTATGGAGGCTCGAGCTGGGGCTCGACTGACCCGTTCAATTTCTTCTTCGTAAACTTTTTTTATTTTTTTCATTAATTTAAAAAAAAAAACAATTGGGGCTTTCGAACCGACCCAAAACCGGATTCAAGTCCAGGAAAACCTAACTTTTTTCGAGTTGAAAAGAAAAAGTTAGGTTTGAAACCCAACATTTTTCGAGTGGGCTCGAATCAGATTTCAAGTCTAAATTGACACCTTATCTTTCGGTGGTCAAGAATCCAACTATTAGTGATCGAAAACACAATATCACAACTTAAATGTTATACTATGAAATTTCAGTATATTTCTGATCTACATCTATCACTATTCAATTATATATCTTGGGTTCTCATAGAGTTAAAAAATTACGAAGGTAACGGTTGTGTATCTTCGTCAAAACACACGTTTTCTTGTCATACCTTTCACGGGTGTCTATAAACATTCATCTCCCACTCATCCGTAAATGCATCATAGTCACTTTACATCGACATTACCGATTCTAGGTTAGTATTCTCTTCCTTAGACTACAACATGCAAGATTAGTTGCTAAAGTGGTTTAATTTTTGTTATCGTCTTCTGCTAAATGCACCCTACAATCTGAATCCATGTGTGATTGTGAATCGCAATTCCGGGATTCCAGAAAACCCAATCGAACAAAATCTCATCTTGCCTCTCTATTAACCTCTACATGGTTCATAACGTCCCTAACTACCGCATTTATTGTCATCTTGTTACGGTCCGATATTTGTCCATGTCAAAGTACAATATTCCCTATGTCAGATATTATATAGACCACAAGTCAAAATCAAAGGGCACAAATCGGAGTACTACATGAGATTTAAATCATGATTGATACCTATATGACATTCTCATACGGATCATTCAATATTCATTCAAAAACGAATACTCGTGATTACGATCCATACATAATACGTTAGATCATCCCCAGAGGCGTATGTACGTGTAAGGGAGGGGTCCTCTGCCCCCACTCAAAAAACTTAAAAAAAATTAATGCATTTATAATTTTTACAAGGTTTCAAGAGAGTTAAAAGTGTCCCCGTTAATTTTTTATGTGGGTCCCCTCTCATTTTTTTTTCTATTTTTTGTATTATATTTTTATAAAAAAAAATAGGTTATGTATTTTTTAGTCACCGCAGGTTTTAGGTTTTTACTTTTTATTTTTTCTTTTTTCAATTTAAAATTTTTTCCTAATACAAAATTATTTTGAAAAGTGTTTTCCTAATAAAAATTACTTTAAAAAATCACAGTTATAAATATAAAATTTAGTTGTAGTTTTCATTGTTTCTATCTATTTTTAATCTTCCATTTTTTTTCTCAATTCTCTAAAAGATTATCTAAATCTGTTATTTAATCATATAAAAAATAAAAAACAACCAAATAAAGGTATATAAGTGTTATAGTTTTTATTTAAAATAATTTTATTTTTTTATTTGTTTATCAATTTCTATATTTTAATTATATTTATAAATTTGGTTAATATTAGAAATCCTTCTCGTCTCATGGTGAAAACAAAAAATTTCTTTCATATGTATTAGTATACAAAACTTTTGAAATCGACATAAATTTTGTTCGTTATTACCGCGACTGTTGAAAGATGTTTTTTAATAATGAATTTTGTAGAGATAGTTTTGTGCAATTGATCAATTTTTAAGTGATTGTTTAGTTTGTTTGATCGAAAAAAATATATTTTTACAAATAAAATTGTTATGGATATATTTCAAAAAAATAAAAATCATATAATTAAATTTTAAAATATACATATTTTAATGATAATGTATTTTTATTGATTTTTATATTATATATATAATAATGTGCCCCACCGTAAATTTTTTCTGGATTCGCTATTGATCATCCCTATGTTCATTTACTATGCCTTATGATAATTTTATCTCGTCAATGTGCTCACATCGACCACATCGACAACTGATAAGGGAGTTTAATATTATTATGATAACAATATATGATTAAACAATAACATACAATTTATATAACAAAAATAGAAAAATAACTTTCATTCATTCCAATGAATCCAAATACAATAACAATATGATCATATAATGGGTCATGTCTAGAACATAAACTCTAACAATACACACCTTCAGCAGCTGTTTACACGGCTATGCACTGGGGTTTACGGGCGTGACCACTTACGAACCAGAAAGCACAAAGCAGTTCCACGCTTTCCTCTCGTAACTCCAGACCACATGGTAAGGATGTGAATGTAACACCGGGTGTCAAATGATCCAATGAAACAAAATTCACTTTAGAAATCATACTTTGTTCTTCCACTCCCTAAGACAAGGCATAACATGTCTGAAATGTTAGAAGTAGCGCTGTAGAAGTTCCATGCCTCGAGCATTAATCGTTTCCTCGATCCCTTGAAGTGTACAACCTGTGCTTTGACAAAAATTGGCCAAACGAGTAAGAAACAGAGACCCGGAGAGAAACAGTTGGAGTTCCAGAGAAAATTTTGAACAATTGATGGATATCGACATGACAGGATTAGTCATGGTTTAAGGACACTGCAACAATATACCTTTACATCTAATGGCATGCCGTGAAACTGGCCAGCCCCTTCAGGGGGTGTCCAGTTGTATATGGCACATGGTAGAAATAGCACTGAGGCTCCACCTATTCCCTGGGTGAATGCTTGTGGCTTGGTAAATCTTTTTGCATCAAATGAAGGGTGAGATTTCACAACCCATACAAGAGCAAGTTGGTCACCGAGCATGCGTGAAGCTCTCATATACTTGCTTCTGTAAGTTTTCAGAACTTCTTCAAGAAAATTTTTAGCCCTGCAATGGAACCCCCATATAACATTTCCCCGTTAGAGGTTTATATACATTGGCCACAATACCGATCATTACTTGTGACTCGATAACAGAATCTCAGAAGCTAGATCAGGCAACTATTCCTATTTGTGATCCAACCCAATTTATATATCAGATTCAGATACCGGGTTTAAAAGCAAGAAAATATATAATGTTTCTTAACCATCTGAAATTACTTGTATTTAAACAAACGAGGAAAGAGCAAGGTAAATTGTAAACCTTAGGATCCCCTCACGGGTGCCCCTCACAGCTATAAATCCTGAATTCAGAGGCTGCTCTTTGTTATTCCTGAATGTCAGCGCCAAATCAAAGTCTGTATGCTCATCGAATATAGTCCCAACGTCATCAACCACAGCTATATCTGAGTCGGTGAAGATATAGTGGTTTGAACCACCCGCATTTTGAGATTGCTTCTCATACATCATCTCAAGAAAAATCTGGGTAGCCAACATTAGCAAGAGTGAGTGTTTGACAAACATCATATATTCTCTAAAATCCAGGTACTTCCCTAAGCGCATTCCACAATGAATTAAAAGAGAATCAAGAGGAAGATTTTGAACCAATTGACGCCAAATAAACAGAAGAGACAACTAAAAGTAACAAACTTGTTCTACCTAGTTATCAATGTGAATTGCTCTTACAATGTAAGACCTGATTCTTTGAAGCATCAGCTTATCTCGTGAATAGTCTCCCTGAATGGGCTGTACAATCACTTTACTTTGTTGGATATTGAGATCAGAAGCTGGATCAGTTAATATAACAACATTGCTCTTGGGCATCGTCACCTGAAACAATATTTTCATTAGACATCAGCATTTCTACAAGGTAAGAAACCCTCACAAACTTCAAATTCTGGAGCATATCTGTAGCACAGTTGCAGATTTCACTTCGGATGATACATAGCTCATGATGAAGAAAAGGTTACCTGAATGAAGTTTATGAATGCATTCAGAACTGCCATTGACCTCTCTGGCTTGCTATAGGTAGTACTCCCAACAGAAACAATGGTAGAAGCCTTTGCATTAGCTTGAGCTTCAAGTGTTGTATTATACACAGTAAACATCGTGACAAAAGAAACACCATTTCCGCCACCAGAAGCAGAAAAAGGTGAAGCATGAGTCCTGTTCAGCGCCTTCATACCTACACAAACATGTCAACATGATAATGTACACCACAACATAACAATAAAACACTAGTTCAGTCCTAAAACAATGCATAACGTCTCGATTCCTAGCAAGCTTCCTATTAGGATCCACCAAACGTGAAACCAATGAGTGAAATTCTGTGATGCAAACTCAAGTATACACAACATTCTGTTAGCTACAACTTATGACATCATTTTGTCATGGAACCACTACATGAGTGGCCAACAAGAACAATCAAAGAAACCTTATTCGGTCTACTTGCTTGAATGTTCGTGGACAAGGGTCCAAACTTCCAATTATAACATTCGCAGGAGGTAATTCCTCGATTGATCTAATTACTGGAAATGTTAAAATCGCTTTTGCTCGTATGAAGATCTCTAATGGCAATTTCGACATACATTTCCAGTGAAGGAGTAATATAACACATAAAAGTCGCTTAAACAGAGCTTCTGAAGCTTGAAATGGAGCCGCTCCAACGCAATTCACGTTACAATTCTACCTAAAAGGAATGTGACATAAGAAGAGACAAGATCTAACCTTGGCAATGTAACCGGTCCGGCAAGCCTTTGCCGGCGGCAGGACCGAGAACAATGTGATCCAGCTTCTTACTACGCTCGCTGTGCGCTTCTTCTCCAGTCGGATTCGAGCGAAACTCCATAACCGACAAGAGATAAGGGAGAATAAAGATCAGAGGAAGAAGAAAGAGAAACCGACGCCATCCGGTGTAGGATCTCATGCTCCGAAAATCCCTACGAGAAACCATCGATAAACCCGGGAAAAAAATCTGCAGAAACAACGGAGGAGATTCTGGAACGAAGCGAAATTGAAGCTCGCACTCAGACTTGGTTCCCCTTCGCCGGCGAGACAGGAAGAATTTCCGATCGGTGGAGGACTTCAGTAGGATGCCGAGGGAATCGACGACAAGATTGGGAGTCCAATCACTCCAGACTACGTGGCGTTTAACTGAAGAGAGGAGAAACAGTCTGCCGTTTACGGACGAGTCCTCGGTGCACTCGTGAAAAACAGAGTTAGAGGTAAGATACAAGCATTGATGGATTGTCACAAAGGAGGTTGACAGACATCTGAACCGAGATCTTCAGATCTGACAGAAGATAAGCCGTTTCTCTCATTCCCACACGAATTATCATTTTCCCATGAATACTTGTTTGAATAGAAACACAACAAAATCACCATCGGGTGGAAATCAAACGGATAGACATGAAAATTAATTTTGAGAACCCGGAATAATCGGTAATAAAATCCAAAATCGGGTATAAAATGACCAATTGAATCAAAAAAAAATCGGAAGAAACCGGTAAAAAGACGAGCCAAGGGACAGTATAAAATTGAACAAACCAAATGACTCGGATAAACTGGACAAACCAAATTAACTGGATAAACCGGTAAACATATGTCTGTGATGTTCTAGGATGATCCGAGATATAACATTTGGATTCTGTATTGATTCATTTATATGAAAACATTACTTTATCCGTTATATGATTTGCATGTTTGTTATATATCGACATCTTTGAACTATTGTAGCATGATTCTAAACTCCTCGATCGGTCGTCATTGTAGGAGCGATGATGCATGAAGTGTGATTGATGTTCATAGAGATAGTCATTCGTTTTGGATGCGAATCATAATTATGGGTACTCGTTAGGAACGATTGATTGGATGACCTAAATGACATTGTCATACGGATATGAGCCAAGACTTGAATCTCATATAACAGTTCGTTCTTCGATCATCAGACCTGAGATGTCTAAAGTAACTGACAAGATGAGTAATGCATCTTGATTGTATCAAACGTCGTCTTTAACTAAATGATCATAACGACGTTACTTGGATATGTTTACGAGTCATGTAGAGATAATAGGCAGTTAAGGCGGGATTTGTCACCTCCTTAACATGAGAAATATCATTGGACCTCTCGTAAAAATCGGATTATAAAAATGCATGGTCATACTATAAATGAAATAGTTCATCTATCTTATCAGTCGATTTACCGGACAAGAAAACACTAGCTTGAATTTGAAGTGTGACTTATTTCATGCCTTTGTTCAATATATGATATCGTGAGACAAAAAAATCAGAACTTGAGATGTTACTGCCTAGGTTAAATCGTCTCTAACTCAATTTAAAGTGGGTGATCATGACATCTTACTAGAAGCTAACCATGATTTGCAGTTCGAAAATGGTTTCCGAGGCTACGAATGGGTCTACAAGGCCACAAAGCAAAAAGATAGACTTATGTGTGACGAATCGGGATGGAATTGGTTTTGACCAGAAAACGGGTTGTCGGATCGAAATTGTCGCATGTGAGAAGCATTCTTAGGAGTCCGGACCAAATCAATCCAGGTTGATTCCAGACCGGACCAGAACAAGCGTGATGAGCAAGAATAGGTCGATTTAGCCTAATCTGACTCGAATCAAACCAAAATGGTCTCTGTCAGGATTAGACCGGATTGATTTCAAGTCCAAATCGACCCAAATCTAAGCCCACTCAAACCGCACCAGAAGTGTTCAGGACTGGCCCAAACGAGGGCCCAAACCGGATCTTGGCCTCGGGAAAAATATATTTTTTTCTTTCGATTTTTAGGGTTTCAGACTTATTTATGTTTGGTGAATACCATCAAATCGTAGATTAGACCTTGAGAGCTTAGAGACACGTCCTAGAGAGTAAGAGAAATCGTTCTTTTAATATTCTAGTTTTTAGGATTCGATCTCAAATCTCTGAGCCATTAATTACTTCACAAATTCTAGCAGATCTCTGAATTGTTCGAGATGATTATAAACAAGATCTCTGAATTGTTCGAGATGATTATAAACAAGACCCGAATAGAGCTGTTACAAGGTTCTACTAAATTCGAGGGAAGTAATCAATTTCATCGGTGATACCAATGCCCGGGAGAGGAAGGCGATAGTTAGTTACCAATATCCGCATGGTTGTGGATGGATTCTCCTTTAATTTTTTAATTAACTTTTTAAAAACATTAAAATGATTTACAAAAAATATATATCAAAACACTGATTTTTATCCAAACAGAGCCGATCGATTCTTTTTGTTACCTTTTTTTTGTTTATGTTTAAAGTTGGGAAACCGAAACCGAAACCGAATAGTGAATGCTAGTGAAACATTTTCAGACCATAAGAGGCCAAAGCTTAAGTACTCTGAACAATAAATGAAACATGAACCAGTTTGATGACAGATAGAACCACTTAATTCTCCAAATGTTCAAAATCTCATTGTAACCCAACAAAAGCTGAGATACACATTGCCTGAGTCCTGCTAACAGAATGCAGATTCTTGAAGCCATGCCCACTAAGCCACAAGGGTGCTCGCTGTAGTAGACTCACTGCAAAATTTTTCAGAGACGAAAAATAAGAAAAAGGATCCAATGTGGATGGATGTGCATGCAACATGATCGTCAAGTAGTAAAACAGCCGGACTCCAATTCCGCAGATGCCAAGTTCAGTGTAATCAAGAAACTACTTACTATTTGAAACAGTAATACCAGATGACAGCTGAGTTAAGTGCTTACTATTTCCAGACAGGAGGAAGCTTCTTGGTCTTCTTGTAGTAGCGAGCCAGCCGGTGGATCCTGCTCTCTACCAGAATCAACCTGAACTTGGAGTCTTTGTCTTTCCTGTTCCTCTCAAGGTGCTTCCTGATAGCAACTGCTTTCTTGATCAGGTGGTACAGATCCTCAGGAATCTCTGGGGCAAGACCTTTTAAGAAGTACAATTAAACTCTTAGCTTCCAGTTTATTGACAACTAAAACAGATGACCCACGAAGAAATATCGATGTTCGAACGTACCATGGGCTTTAAGAATCCTCAAAATCTTGCTACCCGTAACACTCTTAACCTGCGGGATTCCATGGGAGTCACGGAGAATGACACCAATTTGAGATGGGGTCAGGCCCTTCTTCGCAAACTTGCAAATGGCATCATCCACCTGATGGAAACAGAAACAAAAAAATCAAATCATTAAACCCAGATTACTTACAACACTCACGGTGGGGAAATTAAAAATACAAGGGTAAAAAGGAACTCCAATATCAAAATGAAACATTTGTAATGCATATTGTCTCTTTATATGTGCATATTTCTCACCAAAGAGTTTATGGATTCATCCAAGATCGTCGTGATTTAGAAGTTATGACGGTACTCTTACAAAGTTAACGAACAAACCACCAATCGGGAATCTCATAACCATAATCCTAGACTGACAATTCACATCCTCGCCATCTCCAAAGTTCAAAAAGAATTTTCACAACAGCAATAGTGAAGTAGCTGATGATTGCTATCAGTGCCACAAGGCCGACCTCCAACCGATTAAACTAACCAAAGGAAATGTCGAGACAAAGTAACACCACCATAAACATTACAGTAATTCACACGATAGGCGATACCAATCTCTCCATCAAACAGACAGAACCACGTACGAAACAGAACACAAAGACAAACCTAATATTCCGAAATTCTTACATCCTGGGTAGAGGTTTTGAGCCAACTCGGCGGCGTCCGCTTGTACGGCAAGGCAGATGCCGAAATACCCTTTCTACAGAGCAAAACAAAAGAACAGATCAGCAGAGAGAGACAACACAAGCAATGCTCTCGTGGAAGCGGAACAAAAAACACTGACGAACCCTCTGCTGTGCATACGACCCATGGTGACGGTGTGCGGATTCCTGCGGCACTCGAGAGAGAAACGTAAACCCTGGTTTGATCCCAAATTAATGGCGAGGACTGCTAGGGTTTTCACAGTTTTAGATATTTGCAAATAAAGCCTCGCTTCTTTGATGCATTTCCAGTATGATCCCAGTAGTTACAGAGCCGAACGGGAGGACCCATAGTTTGAGCTCGGCCCAACTAACAAACAGTATTCTCTGGTATGGCTCCGGTCCGAACCTTCACATAAACCAAGATTTATATTTTCTTATGATTATTTTTTTTATTAAATCTTTTAATTTTTTTTAAAATTATATTTATTTGATTTTTATCTGTACTTTTTTGTTTTGTTTTTGGGTAAACTCTAATTGATTTAGTCTCCTTAGTTATATTAAATACTATTATTAACTAATTAATTAATTCTAAATATTGCACGAATTTCAAAAATATTTTATAATTTTAGTTTACTTTAAAAAAAATCAAATTGCATTTTTTTTAAAATATTGCAGTTATTATTATGACATTCTTTATTAGACATAGTATTTAACATTACCGCTGTAATATTTACGGCTGTTATTATTAACATTACCGCAGTTATTATAATTACTTTATAAGAGACTAGAGAGTATAAACATTTCCATTATTATTATGACATTCTTTTTCAATTTGGAACTCTACAGAGGCGTATAATTTTCACGACATTTAACAATTTACAGAAGCTACGGAAGCCATTCACGACAAGACATAAGAGCTGAAGGGTCACAACAAGTGATTCAGTTAGAACCGAACTCAGAGTTCCAAACTTCAAGCTCTTCCCATTTGCTTTTGCTCAAGCTTGGTCTGATTACTGTCATCGCCTTTCTGAAATCCTCATATCTTAGAGGTCTCACCTATTGCATAGACATATTCACAGTCACCATATTAAACATCTTAAGAACCGATATATCTAAATCCACAAATTTAGTGCCTAGGACTAATCTCGAAAGATTCCCCCGAGAGGTACAACACCTGATTTGCTTGGACGGTTAGAATATCTGCCCCAAGTTCACGGATCGGCATCATTGCAGCTTCTTCACACAAGGCTTGGAGATCACTTCCTGAGTATCCTGTGACATAAAAATGACAATTGATGCTATTAGTTCCACTTGGACTGGCCATGTCAGATGCTAATCTGTGTTGCTCAGAACGAATGTACAGTACAACATGCCTTCGGTTTCTCTGACCAGTCTCTCGAGGTCGCTACCTGAGAAAAGCTCGTGTCAGTCTATATATAAATTCAATATAATAAATCTGGTTCCAAGATTCAGGAGAAATGGTTACCGGATAATGAATTGGCTTGGCCCTTCAGTTTGGTTTGAAGGAGTAGCTTTCTAACACTTGAATCTGGCAAGGGTACATATATTCTCTTTACCTAACAAAAGAGAATTAAATCGGAGTAGGTAAGTAAGATAAGTCTAATCCTATACCGTTTATAATTTATTGTGCAAACAAAATCAATACCCAAAGATGATAAAGAGTGGACTAGTAAAAATCCTTACCAGTCTCCTAAGTACAGCATCATCCAACTCTTGAGGCTTGTTAGTAGCTCCTGCAAACACATAAAATTCAAGCAAGTTATAATAGAACAAGGACATTACATTAAAACCAGCAGACAAAACTATTAAATGCATAAACAGTTTCTTGGCAAAAGACAAAAGCTTGCAGCTACGAAATTGTACCCAACATAAACACCAAATAGTACACGGGATCCAGCGTTTACATTCAAATGGAGAAAATGAAGCATGGGAAAGATCATATTTCAAGCTGGGTCTAATGGTTCAAGCTGTTCTGAGAAGGCAGACATGGAGATGATGGTTCAAGGGGAGTAACGGAAGCTTACCAATGACAATCACCAAATCATCAGGATTTGAAGCCACTCCATCAAACTGTACAAGAAATTCTGATTTCAACCTTCTGCTTGCTTCGTTCTCATTAACCGATCTTGTAGACATGATACTATCTATCTAGTGACCCAGAAAAAACAAAACAGACATTCAAAACTTTAAGGCACAATGGGGTTATCAGTCTTCTATGACATTGATTTTGATGTAGAACAATAAAAAGGATGGGTATAATATTTTAAGAGTTCCAATAATTGTTTCTTGCCAAGGCATCTGGCTAAATGCATTTACATTATATAAATGCACTTTCATCCTTGCAAAATTATATGTCTAGAACGATACATATTTCCGTCAACATATAAACCAGGGAAGTGCAATGATGCCGTACTTCATCCATGAATATCACGGATGGCTGTCTGGAGACAGCAACCTGGAAGAGAGTTCGAACTAGCTTTTCAGCCTCACCAACCTGGATCAGTAAAGAGAAACCCATGAAAGTTTCTTAATTTAAGTGGAAAAGGGTCTAAGCCCAGCTTTCAAGGGAGCAATTCCGATTACAAAAGCGGGCAACATAGACCCAGAGTGGAGATGGATACACACCCATTTTGATGTCAGAGAAGATGCAGAGACATTGAAGAATGTTGCTTGTGACTCTGAAGCAACTGCCTTGGCAAGCATTGTTTTCCCATTGCCAGGTGGACCAAAGAGAAGTAGACCTAAGAATAATGAAACAATGCTGAGGGTGGGTTTGGAAAGACCAACACGAAAAAAAATCTCGAGAGTGAGTTTACCTCTTGCTGGTCTTCTGAGGCCAGTGAACAAATCTCTTCGTTTGGTAGGCAAAATAACCATCTCCATTAAAGCTTGTTTAGCTTTGTCAAGTCCAGCTGCAAATAATTCAGAAAAGTCACTATATAGCATCGAGTCTAAGGTTAGCATGTAAAGAAATGTCGAGTTTGTCATAGTCAGAATGAGACCCACCAACATCTTCCCACTTCACAGATGGACTTCTATCCACTATTGTTGTATTTATCATTTCTACTAACTTATCGTCATAGCCATTCCCGGATTCTCGCACAGGTTTTAGGCTCCCAGTAGTGTCTTTCTGATTCCTTGCCGCTACATTGCTTCCACTGGGATGTGGAGCCTTTTCTGATGATCGTCTTCCATACTTTGATGCTGTATAGGATACTGAAGCTGAATGAGCAGATGCTATGGTGCTCTGCAAATTCAAAGAACAGGGAGAGAATTGCAGAGGTGGAGAAAAGCCAAAAGTAGAAAAGTAATGAGTTCTAACTGCAATACCAACACAAAAACATACATAATCCAGCACAAAACATGTTGATTGCATCCCGGAACAAGTCATTGATCGCGTAAGACAAAAAGTTTTGTGCTCAATGCTTACGGATGCTACATTAACAATTAAACTTCATAAAGGAACAGACGTAAAAAGACCCACGTTTTCTACGCTTTGGCAAGGCAAGATTGTACCTTGTTCACAGATGTGCCAACACCTGTAGAAAGTATGCCATTGATGCAAAAACAAAAGCAAGACAAAACATCAGCAATATCACACAATATGCCATAGAAGATTACTGTTTGAACAAGAGAAAATTGAAATCAAATGATCACCTGCTCGCTTGCCCAGAGCTTGCAACCTCTCCGAAACCTGATTCTGCCATTTGGAAATTTTCTGCCGGTACGATCTCACCTTCTCTTTCTCGCTACCACAAGTCACAACCAATCAAAATTCCCGAATATCAAGACAAAAATCTTTTTAAAAAAAGAATTAAACAGAACGTTCGGTACCTAGAACTGACATACGAAGGGGCAGGCGTTGAACCGGCCTCGATCAGGATCCTCTGAGCGTTTCTGTAATGGAGAATCGCGTCGTCGTGCAAACCCCACTCTTCAGCCCTAACACCCTTGGCGATCTCCTCTTTCGCCAAATCGAAGTAGCCCTTGAGCTTATAAGCAGTTCGTTCGTTAGAAACCGGAGCTCCTTCAACAACAACACCGTCCATGGATCCCGAACTCGAGACGGCTGGGCCCTGCTTAGGTTCGTAGGGATTGCCGTCTTCTCTAAAAATTGAGCTGAAGGAATCTATTATACCTCTGAGGAAACTCATCACAGAGGCTAACAAAAAGCGGAGAAATCGATCGGGTTTTCATAGAACACCCAAAACTATAAAGAATTAGCAAATGTGAAATTTACCCTAGTAAACAGTAAAAACGCGTTTCCGAAACGCACGTGTGAGAGTTAGAAAAAAAACGAACAGATCATAATTCATATTACCAACGGACGCAAAAACAAATTATATTACACAATCGTTACTGGTCATCTTTATCAGGCAACTCGCCAATTTTCTAAACAAATTCCTCGGTATATTTTGATTTAATTATTTATTTATAGCTATTCACAATATTTACTCATAAATTTAATCTCGTAAAAATATATATTAATTCTTACCAATTATATCTTATATTATTATGGTTAATTTAATTGAAATTTTTTTACATAAATTAATTTTGTAATTTTTTTTTAACTCTACCGAATTCGTTCTTATCTATCTGATCCTAAATTTCGATAAAAAAAAAAGAGGGGTTTTGTGGTAAAAAAATATCAAGCAAAACTAAAACCAATACAATAAATTCAAATAACATAACCGTGCTTTATTTACGATACATTATATCAGAAATTGGGTATAGTGAAAAATAGAAAACAGGACACACTATATCAGAACGCGGGTGTAATGAAAAATAGAAAACAATATAGGACGTCATCCGAATGCGACACGCCATATTAACGTCCGGATATAGTGCTAAATAGGTAAAGGTTTCCATATCTTGGACATGTATTTTATAATGTTAAGACATTAATATGGGATTTTACCTTTAAAATATAATAAGTTATGTGAGCAACATCTGATGCAGTGAACTAAATGGATGTAATAAAATGAACATATGTATGTCTTTCCGAGGTTACCTATCACACAAAAAATCAAAAGAAAATGAATGACTCGTATGTTCCATCCCAAAAAAAAAGGAAAAAAACTCAAATTGGGCCAAAAAAAAAATATAGCAAAATAAAATAAAACAATGGTATAGGCTTCAAGCTGGGCGTAGGCCTGTGATGATGCTGCTTCAACCTGATTTATCTCTGGAAGGCTGGGAGTCAAATATAATTTTACACCTCGCCAAGACAAGACAAAAGCACACGTCCAAAACCTGACTTCCAAGCGCAGGGCATCTGATTTTAGGTTCTACGGATGGTACTGCAACTTCGGAGTTTCAACGGCACAATGACACGTGGATTGCTAAGATTTTATCGAGGGGCTGACCCCTTATCCTTCCCAGCCAAGCTTCAGCATCTGATCCACCACCTTCAAGCTTAACTGGGAAAAACAATTTATGCAGAGAGATCAATGAGTTAGGGTAGCTGAGTGGTTCTTTCTTGTAAATTTTTGGATTTATAAGTTAGGAAGTGTCTCCTTTCTTGTGCTCTACAATCTCTGATCCCTTGACTCCAGAACAAATATGGGGTTAAGATCACAAACTCATTAACAAGGACTTTCTACAACCAGCGAATCGAAGAAATTATAAGTGATTCTCTAACCTTCGTAAATGCAGAGTTTTTACTGCCCTACTAACATACCAAACAGTAGCAACTATGTAAAAAGTTAACTAAAAGAGCTCAAATGAGAACAAGTGTGAAAAAACTTACAGCTGGATCAGTGAAGATTATCAACTGTTTATCTGCAGTGGCAACTAAAAGATTAGTGTTGTCGGTGTTCAAAGTCATTGTGGTTATATCCTGTCCTTGGGCCAACTTCAGCACATGGAATACCTATAAAAACAAGAGACATCAACAAGAATTTCAAAGCATTTGATACAAAAACCAGAAAGAAAGACTCGGAAAAAAAAATCATACCTGGAGTGTGTATAGGTTGAGGAAGCAAATTGAAGGAGATGAGATATCCAGTCTACCAATCTCCTCGGTTTGATTTAATGAATCTTCACTTGCTGGTATCTTTGGACTCAAAGCCATGCTATTATCACTTCTCGAAACATCATCACTGGAAGTCGAGTTAATCCCAATCAAGGCATTTTGGCCGTCCATAGATATTTCCATGCAACTGATGCTACAAGAGAAAGGGAGATTGGCTTTGGCAATCAGAATCCCGTTGATGGAGAAAGCGCTAATAGAATTCTCCGATCTGTTCCAGGCCATTATAACCCCCTCGGATGAAATGCACAGAGCATGTGCCTCCACTCCACCTAACCGTCTGATCAGCCGCCCTTTTCTTACGGAATGCAATAGAATATCTGAGGATTCCGAGGACGAAACAACAACTCCTTGATCTGAACTAACACAACAACAAAGTATTTCTCTTCGATGGCCACGAAGTACTTGTATTGGTCCTTCGATTCGACATTTTTTCCTGCTGCCTGTGGCGAAGGATGACATTCCTGAGCCAGTTGACTGCTCAGACATGCTTGTCCCAGAAGTGGGGCCCTTGTGAATTCTCCACAGCAACACAGTTGTGTCCCGTGAGCCTGTCACAAGGAAACTATGATCCGGGGACAGAGCCAGACAAGTTACAGGGGCGCAGTGCCCGAAAGCAGTTTCCAATGTTTTAGCTCCATCAGATGAGATCAGCTTGACACTGTTATCAGCATGCCCACCTGATAAAAATGTATGAGTTAGCGATAAATGATAAAAGGAATTATCAGCAAACTTCTTCGCGAAAAAGATATCTTATAATTGCTACCTGAGATAATTTCTCCATCACTAGTAATTGCAACGATCGCTGAACTTCTAATCCCTGATGAAGCAAATGCTTGTGCCTGAGGGAATTGCCAATCATCAGGACCAGAACTGACTGGACCCTTGAACATGCGTATTAAAGTTCCACCAGTTGAGGTTGTTGTTGCTTTTCCATGATGAAAGAGGAAAGGAGTACCCTGGCCATCAGGGGTGTTTGGCTGCCACTTGTGCTGTGCCACATGTGCTGCTGGGACGTTCATGTCAACAATCACGACCGTGTCTGAAGATGCATGTATGGCTGAGGCAGGTAAGTTGCAGCGTTCGGGTGAAGGAACAGCATATGGCTTGATCTCTTTTGGATTCCGAAAGATGGTCTGACAAGAATTAAAAGCATTTTGTCAATTTCAAATGGCTAAATTTCAGCGCCACACCAGATAAGCACTAATAGTATTTGTATATTTATCTCCTACATCTGTGAGGACAATGCACTAGATTAAATAATGATGTTTTCCTATATCCACTAGTATCATGCATATAACCGCTATCGGTTGTGGTGAATGAAAATAAAACCCGGTCCAAAACCTTTTTTTCATAAACCCTGTTATATGGCCAACGAAGGAATTGACATCCGCATTACCTGCATATGAAGAACATCTTTCAGCGGAATTCGTTTCATGTGAGGGACAGTCAAGAGCTGGGACGGTGTTTGTCCAAAATAAGCAATCTGGTCTTGTGTAGCACGTTGTTGTACCTTCAACAAATGTTCATTGGCAAGTTAACGGAAACTGATTCATGCCAAAACCAGGGGCAACCACAACTGCACAACAAAATTAACTTACCGGGTCTGTGATCTTATCAATATCAACGGTCCCCTCATATGTAATGTAGAAGAAAACATTGTTTGCCAGTATAGCTTCCTTGCCACGTTGCTTATACCTAGATGAATAAGTTCATGAAAAAAGAAAAGCTCAGAAGTCCTTTAACTATCTTAGTAAAGAAAATTTTGTCTAGACAGTTTTTGTTGACACTCAGCAAAAGGGAAAAAACCAGATTATGGGGAAAGTGTGTTGACTGACTATGAGTTAAGAAGAAAGACCTACCCAAATATGAGATCGACCCACTCATGCAAATGTGCAGACACATGTTCGCTCTCAAGGGCCATTCGTTGCTTGTGTACAAAATCAACTGGGTTTTTGGCCCAAGGAGGAAGTTTCACACCATCTAATGCATTAAAACCATGTCAGAAAGGGAAAGGTTCCGTTTTATATTGGCACACAAATTAATCCTCTCGGACAACAAAGAGAAACATGAGCATACCAAGCTTTTCTCCCAGTTGTGTAATACCAAAGTCGATCGAGTTATCGTTGGTCAGCATCTCAGGAAGGTAAAACAACTCCGGAACCTGTTTCACAAAATGTGGTGGCCTGAATCCAGCTAGGCTCCTAAATTCCAGACAAACGGCAGATAAAGACCACCATATGATACTTTTGGGGGAAAACAATACATACCAACTCCTTCACATCACTCATTTCCTCAAGAACACTATTCCAAGTGGCTGCAATGTCTGAAAACATGCGGTCTGCATGATCAAATTTTCCACCTTGCAGTTGAATAGAAAGGGTTGTAAAAGGCTCAACTCTAGTCAGATAGTACAACACCTGTGCACAAGGAAAATAATGATAAAGCATCTGCTGTGGCCTTCATAAAACTGCAAACTCGACCCAGTTCTTTTTTTAACAGAAAAAAGTGAAACAAAATCTTAAAAGGGAAAAAAATGAGGAGACAATAAAATTACAGCAGATATTATAGAGAAGAGAACCTACAGCTCCAGCACTTGAGTAATGGGAACCATAATGGAATTTGGGGATGATTGGATCGTCAAAGCTAGAATATCGCTCCTGAAATTTCTTTAGACGCTCTGGGTTCAAAGCACCAATAGGCTGCTCAAATACAGATCCGCATTACAACAAGCTTTTTCTCAGGTTGGTAGATCACCACACAAAAGGTTAGTAACAAAAGGGGAGCAAACTACAAAGAAAACTACCTTGGATAGATCTCTGTAGGTCGATGGATTTGAAAGATCGATACTTTCAGAACTGTAGTCAGATATGATCCACGGGAAAACAGGATACTGCCGAGGATCACAAAATCTACCAAGGTCAGCCAAAAGCATACGATATTAAGAGGGTTCAGAAGAGAAAGAATACGATCAGGTGCATAAAGTCCACCTGAGTAATGTCATTATAACTACGCCCAGCTAGCGTATTGAGCTGCATTAAGTACTCGAAATTGCTGATCTGTGAAAAGGGTGCAGCAAAGCAGATGTGGTTAGCTCTCTGTTATAGTTATGCCCAGGAAAGGATAAGATAAAATATTTCATGATGAGATGAGTACGAATCCTTGGTACCTCCCATCTAGCCCAGCGCTCCATTAACTGAGTTCTTTTTAAAAGCTGTTCCGGCCTCTAAAAAGGAAAGGATTCAATTAAGATTTGCAGCATATAAAGGAAAGTCCTCTCAGTTTAGCTTGATTTACCAAGCCTACAATCAAGAATGATGGACCAAGGGCATTTCAAAAGCTAAACAATACATGCTAACAAGGGAAATACTTACTTGGGTTGCTAGGTAAATATTATTCAGATGAGGAGGCCTTGCTTGAACGATAGCTCGATATGCATTTCTTCGTCCCTCAGTATTCTGTGGTTGTCATCAAGAAATTTCAACAAAAAAAGAATTATAGCTACAGCAGGCAGATATTTCCAAGATAAAAACAAAAAATATCTCATAACCTAGGAAGTGTTTATCTTTAGATACCCCGAAATCAAAGAAGAAGTTTGATCGGTCGATCATAAAGAGCTCCAGAGCACTCTTCCTCAGGAGATATCTGTGAAGGAGATGAACAAACATAGATAAATAGATCCTCAATCACCGTGACAAATCATATGAGAAACACAACTCATAAGGAAGGAGGAAAACATAACAAAAAAAAAAAAGAAAAATTCAGTTGCGACTAGAAAAAAATGTCTGGCTGGTGGAGAAGCTTGGAAAAAAAATGACAACATTCTGCTCAAGCAACGCAGAGCAGTTGACTGCCAATCAGCTTGTACATTAAAGAATTCAATGCCACAAAATTCTTCCTAAATTCATTTGTACATGAAAAGTTTCATAGCGTGGTTGGAGAAACTGAAATGTCCTAAATAATTAGCTAAATATGTTACATTAAAATTTAATAAAACAGAAGATAATCAGAACAAAATAAGCTTGACAGAAGATGTTGATGATGATAATACTTTACCTTCGGCTATAAATCTGATGCACAGAAGACATCAGCCAACTGCGATCCTTTTCTCGGTCTCCTGCTTCAGAAGAACTATCTGATTTACCAGTCAAACTTTGGCTTTCTCTGTCGGCGATAAAATTTATTCGCCCTGTTGTGATCTGAAAAAGGCAAAAAAATTACAATCAGCAACCACAAATTCACACAAGAAAAGGAATATTGATAATCTATGAGCCATTTCCACTCTGCATATCGACAGGCTACAATTTTAGATTGCAATGGTATCTACAAAAGTCGGGATGGCGATTATCTCTATTTTTCCCTAGGTCATCAATGGGATATATGTAGATGTCACAAAAAGATCAACTTAGCCAAACGTACCTGAAACGTTCCTTTCACAACTTGTAGAGGTCGGACCATAGATGAAGGAAGCTCAAGAAGAATCCTTTCATCATGTTCACTTGGAACAAATCCTGGTGCTACTGCCGAAGAATCTCGGACCATATCTTGTGCACTCAAAGGTTGAGGAACACTAGTTTCAGTTGACATTCTCACTGCATGATCATGAGATCCAGACATCCTCTGTTCATTTTCTCGACCATGTTTTCCATAATTGTCTTTGCTATCAAGATGATCACTCTCTCCTTGTTCATCTTCTTCATACACCACTTCCATTGATATTGCTTCCGCAGAAAGAACAGGGGCATTCGATGGAGAACCTAAACCATCTTGACTCTTTTTCATCTCTGTCTGATCATCGTAGTTTGCTGCTGCCCCGAGATGATCAGTTCCAGAATAGTTCCTGCTTAAACACTGTCTCATCCTTGCAGAACTTTCCATAGAGTCCAGCTTCCAGAAAACCTGCATATTTCACGGCACTACATTGGTGTGAAAAATTGACTAAATCCAAAATTTAACAAAACACATTATACTGTAACGTACGTATTCAGGACAGCAAAAATGATCTCCAAAAGGCCCAACAAAGCATCTCATTTCAACCAAATAATGAACGAGTTTGCGCCAACCACGAATTCCATTGCATAGTCGATGCCTCACTATGATATCATCTTGTATACGCCTGTCAATCTGGCAAGGAAGTTGTATCAACACCAATTGTATTTAGAATGCAACACTCTAGAAGACCATAAAGTGTAACATAGGCAGAAAGCAAACCTCTAATCTCTGCATGTTACGTGCTAAAGCAAAGCTTGCTACTAGTACGGCAATAAATTTGTAGGACAAAGCATTAAAATCCTTTCCATAGACTGATTTTGTGTCCACTGGTTGAAGACATTCCATCCAGGCTACGCCCATGGCATCAGAAATATTCCATCTCTGCAAACGCTCCATATCACTGGCATTCCTTCGTTGTGCAGATGTGGCCATTGCAACAGCACTGAGACCTCTTCCTGAACCTATCTTTGCATTCCGTTCAAGATCACGTGCCGCCGCCAAGGCTGCCGCTTTTGCTGCAGCCTTGTCTCTTGGCCGAGCTGGTGTGCTATCGGTTGGAACGTCCAATGGTTTCTGAAAGCTTGAAAAGGTATGAAGTCTCGCGGTCTTACGCTCAAGCAATGACGAGTCTCGCCTAAGATGTGAAGGTGCTGGAGGAGCTGGGGCTTCCCAACCAGCTGCCCCTGCGGCTATCATGGCCAGTGCCAATGCAGCAGGTGGCGATGCAAAAGCAGCAGCCCACTCCGGAGTGATCATAGAAAGAGCAGCCTAAAAAGGAAAAGAAAATAAAAAGAATGGATTGCTCAAAACAATTACTCAAGCAGCAAAGATATTGAAGCTAACATAAACCTTTAAGGCAAAAAGTTTTGCCGCAATGTCAGGCCAATCAGAGCAAAACAACTAATGTGGCAACTAAAGGGAGTGTCATCAATTTTCTGCAACCTCCACGGGAAGTGTGTCAGCAGCCAAGGCACGATCATCAACAACGAGGGGATTGAAACCATCAGAAGTGGCAAGTTCATGAATGCCAGCCAAAAGTGGTCTCCATCTCCGAAGGACTGCAACAAAGGGTGGCAAAATAGCCTCAAGGTACTGCTTACGGAGTGGTCTCCTATCCCTGCTCACAGCATGCCATACCTGCAACGTACGTCTGCTGTAATCAGGAATTGAAAATAAAATGAAAGAAATGAGACTAGCATTCGCAGAAATAAAGGGAAGATGTCCACTTTCCAATTGGTTATCCAAAACAAGCATGGAAATATGAGGCCAAAACATAACTGAGCAAGACAAAATGATTTAGGCGAGAACTAACCTCGGAATAAAGAACACATGCAGCAACCAACACTCTCTGCCGCTTTGAATCAGAAATTGGCATGTTTAGGAGAGGAGAGAGCACACTGAAAAACATAAACACTCAAATTTAGTTCTCTAGGTAACTGCAGAATTAAAGTGAACAAACATGAAAAGGCAGGCTAGAAAACCAAACTCCTAAATGATGCCAATAATGTCATGCTTTCTAATGCTGGGAAAAATCTAATCTTAAATTTACAGTTTTACACAGCATAATGGTCATCATCGTGACTGACCCACAATCAGTTTTTGTGTACAATTGAACCAACAGGACTATACTGGATGATGGATCTGCTCCATAGTCCCTAGTAACAGCATGCAGGAATTCTGATGGAAAGTATATGCAGGTGGATTATCTAAAATGCAAAGCCATGTTGGGGGAAGATAAAAGATGTCATTTAGTTTACCTCCACAATAAAGCTGATCGTGATTGCCGCACTGACATATGAGAACTGTTATCTAATGAGACTATGTTTCCTGAGGGACGATGCAATCCACCAGAGAAACCATCTTCAGAACTTAAATTTCTCATCAATGTACTATTTTCACCATAGTCGTCTTCCCTCATAGACAAGAGCACCATACGGAGCATGCATAAGAAAGGTTGGTCACTATCCAGTAACTGGTAGAGAGCCGTCATTCCTCCCATCCCTGTACCTGATCCTCCACCTATTCCTAGGCCCCCACCAAGACCAGACTCATCTAGCAGCAAAGCTTGAAGCATGGATACGGATTTTTTAACCAAAGGAAGTTCAATCCAGTTTCCGTTAGCATCTTTTTCTAAAGTGGATTTCCAGGAGTCCCAACCACTGCCACCACCACCAAAACAAGTAGATTTAGAAGGGAGGCCAACACCATACCACAATCGACTCCTATACTTCCATCCCTCAGCCAAATCTATGGCACAGCTGCCATAAGAAACAAAAGCACATGAAACTGATTCATAAGGCTCAGCTGCAGCTGCAGCTGTTAGACGCTCCATTATTGCCGCAGATATCTGTCCACTTGCATCAGCCATTGAAGCAAGCACCTAACAAAAACCAAATTAAGGTGAGTTTCCTGAAGACAGAAAGCGTGATCTACTGCAGAATAAACACAATTAATAACAAATTGTATTTTCAGCCAAACTTTAACACTTAGCCTACAGCCAACATCTGCTATCCAATGTACAAAACATGTGCATTTATAAATTATCAGAAAATTAAAGTTTATCAGCATGATTCATGAAAATCACCCTGTCATTGCGAGAGAAATGGAAGCTAAATCTAGCAAGTACCAATTCACAAAAATTAGATGTTTCAGAATATGACGCACGTACATCTAAAGGGACTCCCCCTGAATTACTAGAGACTGAAACACGACTACTGGAAATCTCTGATAATTCCCCAATTGGTGCCAGCGTATTTGGACGGCTGTTCAGAGGAGAGACAAGAGAAAGAGGTGATGGAGAAGCATCAACAGCATGCGATGCACAAGCCTGTTTGCTTTGTAATCGCAGATGATCTTCGACAAGCATCAAAATCACTATTGCATTTTCCACCAGAAACACAGAAAGCTGAGCAGCATTTTCTGCTCCTGCCTTTGCCTCCTTTGGAGCTAAACCCTCTGCTGCAACACCAGCAGCAGCTGCAGCAATAACTTGAGTCTGCAGGGGTAAAATATTATATAAGATTAAGAATGATATGCTGGTTGTCACCAGGTATTAGCACTAGGAGGGTGAAACATATGGTGCAACTAGTTACTATTTAGTAATAACTCAAAAAAAGGTTCACAGAATTATTTTCTGATCACTAAACTCAATTTTGAATGTTTAACTACGACTATGTAAGTGTAAATCGAACTTCACATTTCCTCTATAAAGGATTGAAATATCCATAAAATAACTCCAATGACAAAAGGTCTTTAAGGGGAAGGGGGCTGACAAGACATGGAAGACATTAAGGCATCTCCCATTGGTTCTCCCTGACATACTACACGATAAAACAACAAACAATAAGGACAGGAGTTACCTGAGCCTGCAGCTCTCTGGCAGCAAAGTCTAGCAATCCACCCAGAAGCCTTCTTTTGAAGATTGGTAATGACTCCTCACGCCTTTGAAAAAATAAGAGCTTAAATAGTGTTTAAATTATAAAAAGACGCTTTACTGGACTCTGACAGACTTCTCAAAGTATGTTGAAAGAGAGACTATAGTACAAAAAAATAGGCAAGAGAAATATCTCCAGCCAAAAAGAGATGACCAAATAACCGGCTGAAACATAATAGAACTTGGGAAAAGGCTTTTTTCAACAAGAAAAGTGTGAAAAAATGGTGCAGTAGTACAAGGAAGTACCTAATTCGTTGCTCTCCAGTGCTAGATCCACCAACAATAGATAGCCACTCTGCACAATGAATTGTAGCCTCAATATCCTGAAAAAGGAATGGAATGCAAGAGTAAAATATATGAAAACAATATTCAGGAAAAGGTTAAGTGGAACTTCTCCAGTAAACATTTCAAAACAAACAAACATACCTTCCAACCATCCTTCTGGCGCATTGAATGCTCCAACATTATGGTTAAGAAGTTGTGGATGAGATCTTCCACCTCCGCAGAACCACCCGAAGCAGACTGCTTCCCTGCATCCTTCTGTGCGTACACATGATAGTAGCAAATTCGGTCAGAGCTACAACAGATATGGACCAGAATTAACCAGCCAAAAGTGTCAAGTTCACTTCTGAAAACTAGCAAGGGAAACAACCTAATTGGCCCAGCAATATTACAACAACTCATGGAAGAAAAACAATAGAAGTTTGAATTGCACCTCATAGTTCGAAATAAGGATTTCCAAGATCCATTCAGGCCACTCCTCCATTGTTGTCAGACTATTCCTATTTTCCGGATGACTACAAGCCAAAAATAGAAGATCCTGATATAGAAAGAGACATTTCAGAGAATGATATCAAATGCAGAGGGCACTGAACAAGTGAAAACTTTTAAAAGGTCACCGCAAAATAAAGTTGCAGATAGATGACCAAAGATTCATTCAGCTCTCATGATAACTGTCCGGTAAAACAAATTCCTCAAAAGGTGTTTAATAGGTTAACAAAAATAGTAACCAAAGTTAAGACAATCTGAAGCACCTTTAAAGGGACATTTCGGGGCACTCTCTGTTTCTTTATTTGTAAATACGTGGACTGGCAGAAGACATATTCAACCATGACATAAATACCTGAAGTGCTCGGCTTTGCAAAGCCCTACATGCAAATGGAAGAGACCTTAAGAGGACTAGCAGGAGTTGAGCATGTTCAAAACGATGACCTGAATCGTAAAAGTTCAGGCCATCCTCAGTTGACGAAGCATTAATCTGCAAAAGAAAACTAGGGTTTTTCACTAAGATTATAATTTAATACTAAACTCTGAAGCAGACTGTAGCACCAAAAAACAAAAAATCTCACAATCAATTGCTGACTTTTGAAAATGTACCATAATAAATATAGTATCAAATTATGAATAGATCAAGGACAACCCCATGGGAAGCTCCTTTCCAAAAAAACGTTTTCCATTAAGTTGTGTCCCTTAGTAATAAGGTAAAAAAAATGTAAGAGCTCTGCAACACCACACCAATATTTTCTAGATACAGAAAATAGCATATGCTCTCCCTTCTTGTCATCAAATTTATAACAAATTGAATGGTGGCAATCAGAAAAGATTTGCTCAAATATCTGACTTTAGAACAGTTCGTTCACAAACAAATTAAGCAGAAACAATAATAAAGAACACTGCATACCGTGGCCCCAAGCAAAGTTGTGTACACATTGTCAGTCATTAGCCGGTTTGGAGCTGCTTGAAACGCTCTCTGCAGAGCAAATAGAAGCAATGCGACTTTATCATCAAACATTGTACCACCATTTTCGTTGAGTCCGCTGCCCAGGAGGTTATTCGGCACATCAGAACGAACACCTGAGTCAAATGTCAGGTGCCCATTTGATATTAATGCACCAATCAATCTGATGATCCCGACCACAATTCCATCGCTATTGTCAACATTGTACACACTATTTCTTGTGTTATCTGCATTTATCGAAAGACTTATACCACCGTTTTCAGAAACGGGTGATGCTCTCCCAGTATTTATGGAATCGGAGATGGAAAATGAGCCACTGTCATGAACAGAATGCTCGTATCCATGCTTGTTTTCTTGTTGAACTGCGTCTGCTTCCTTTAAAGATCCTACGTTATCACCCTGATCACAATTGTCATCAGGAGCAGGAAGACCAGAGTCACTCTCTATGTCTAATAGGTCTGAATCCATCTGCTTTAACAACCCAGGCCCATTGGACTGACTCTGTTCACTTTGGTCAGGTGGTAAGTCTGGGGCACTCTTACCCAGAGATTCTAGAATATCGTAATCACCAGTTTTAGTTTCTCTCTGCAGAAGAACAAGAAATGTTTCTATTCCACCGGATGATATAAATGCCGCTGCGAATGTCTTAGCTCTAGCAGCATTTGGCTGCACAACCAGCCTATACATCAGATGCAATACCCTTGCAACCTAAAGAAAGACAATGATGGAACAATTTCAGTACGAAAATACTACATATTACAGAAAAGAAAGGCTGCTGGATGACACATATGTAACGATTAATATAACAATTACCATGGTTTTCCACTACCAAATACAACTGCAATCTGTAAAATCATCCTCTCACACTCAATACTGCTAAAGTTGCGAAGATGGTTTCTTTAAGTTAAAGTGTAATAGTGACATCAAATTTGCTAAAAGGCAACAAAGATGCTATGCCTTGACTATATAGCCAGAACATTGCAAAGAAAGGATGGGTTGGTTTTTCTACATGCAATAAGCATAGACGGAGAGAACCACAACTGAACATTAAAAAGAGCAAATTCTCATCCAAGACAACCGAAGATGGATAAGAAAGATGTTTTAGATGGTGAAGTAAAACCTTATCAATGGACAATTACAAATAGTTGTCCGACGACCAGAAGCAAATATGTGTTAAGAAAATATAGAACGGGACTACGCTACCTGATTTGGCTGTGGGCAGTCAGTTATGAAGCCAAGTAATCGACCGACATCAACGGCAGCCAATGAAGGAGATGCCGCACCCATTAGTAGTTCAATAATCACCAAAAGTTCATCAACCAAGGAATTAACTTCCCCCATTTGACGTGTATCTTCATCAAGAGAAAATGTGTTCACAGAGTCCCTTTCACGAACCATCCAGTAACATCTTCGACATCCATCTAGAAGCATCTGCATTGCATTGGCATTCCTCATGGCTGACGCTTCAGTGAATACCATATCTGCAAGGGTTGACAAAAGCTTTTTCTGGAGCCTATAATTGCACAAACTCCATATCTTCAGATCTAACAGCAGCGTACTAAAGAGCTGCACTTTAAGAGCATGATTGATCTCCTGAGATTGGCAAAGTAAAACAATGGCAGCAACTAGTTCCTCATCTCCTACTCCACCTTGATTCCGATCAAGAGATGCAAGTGACTGTAGAAGATAACTGAGAATTCTGGCCAGAATCTCAGGCCCACGGTTGCGATACAATTCTTCATTGTTCCCGGGATGTTGAATAGCAACAGAGAGAATTCGGAATATAGGTGCAGCAAGAGCAGCTGTAGCCGAAGACAATGGAAGACTTCCTGGTAATGGTTCAAGGCTATCTTTATGCACATTGCTAACAGTCAGAGGCAGTAAAGACATGGGTCCTCCATAACCTAGTGCCCAGAGGGACTCCATCAGCTTCATTCTCGTAGCAACATGGACTTGTCCAAGAACCTCAGCTGGCCGTCTTAGAATGCCTTAACAAAGAAAAAGGGGGAATTTGCAAAGTAAGGGTAAAGCAAACAACAAACCAGTTCAACATACAGACAGAAAGGGGGCTTATGATTTCCTTAACTCCTAAGACAGGTACATAACAACAACATAAAATAAGAATGAAGTTAGTACAAGACAGTTTGTATATTATGCATGAGAGAAACTGCAAAAGACAGAAGGCATTCATGAAGGAGGGAAAAGGAGGTCGTTGAACGAGAGAACAGATGAACGAAACTAAAAAATGAACCAAGTGAGAATCTAACAGGTACTAGCCTTTCTATCGAAGTGAGTCATTTATCATAAAAAGATTTGATCATGGAACAAGAAAATAGCAGGGAGAATAAATATAGACACCTGTTGCTCCAGAAGGTGAAGCATCTGGACAAAACCGTCCATTAAGCAGACAGGGGTGGTAAAGCAGATGGATGTATCCTCCAATCTCTGCATCCAAAAGACTGCTTTCCTCTGCTCTGCTACGGATGTGGTCATTTGTGGCTAACCAAGGAATGCCTGCCCCATTACCAAAACAAGGCAAAACATCCCCACCTCTATACGCCAACCGTGCCATTTTTTCAGGACCAATCGATTCCTTAAATATATAAACTGGTCCCATCTCAGCAAATAAAGGACATTGACGACGACGACGTTGTAGACCAGCCATCGTAGGAGGAGGGTTGGTTCCAATGCAGCAGAATGAAAGCGGCTTGGATATACGAGGAAATTCAAAAGGACGAGTTTCATACAAGGACCCATCAATATACAGCCTGAGTTCACTCTCTGCTTTCCCTAAAAGTCCCTGCTTGCAGGTATGCTCCAGGCCAATAAAATACCAACACTGCGGCTTAAATGCATGAGTAAAATGCAGAGACGCCTTTCTTCCTTTCCCACTACCACTCTCAACCACCAAAAACTGTGCATGGAAATATGCTTCTATTCCCTGATTATCAGCAGACAAAAAGCTGAATAAACGTGGCATGTGAGCAGTACCCTCACCGGCAAGCGCACTTGCAGCCGCTGCAGCTGACATTGCAGATGATTTCCCTGACTTGGCCGCTGCAGCTGCAGCAATTGCAGCTGCGGCAGTTGCAGCATTTAATGTGTCAGCAAAAGATTCAATATAGATCCACGTTGCAAAAGCATAGCCATTGGTAAAGGGCCAACGACTTTCACCAGGACCAAGCAAGCCAGAGCTTTCACCATCAAACTCAAATGTGCATGCCGGTCCCCTTGACTCCTTTCCACTCATTGCCTTCTCCAAAGCATGCATCAGAGGACTTGACCACACCGTTGTAAGAGTTTGTTTAATAATTTGAAGCCATTTATGCAAATCACAGACACTAATAGAGTGCCCAGCTAAATGTTGAATGCAGTGAAACAAAGCGGCTGCTTTCCATTTTGTATTGACATCCCTGGATACTATATCCTCAACCGCTCGCAAAAGAACTCCCAGCAACCCTGCCAACGAGCACATAGCTCTGTTTCTCGTGCAAGAACGTAAGATAGCTAGTAATCCTTGCACCATGCGGGTCCTAGGAGACATAAAATTGACACTGTCACCTAAGCAAGGAAGCCAAGGAATAAGCTGACCGGCAACAATGGCAGCACGAGAATTTAACATCACACTGGGAGGGTTGCTATCTTCATCCTCTTCGAAACTCTCAACTCCACCCATTGTCGCAAGAAGTGAATCAATAACTAAGAAAGCAATTGTCTCTGGATCCTCTCCAGAGCCAAAACTCTCCATACCGTTTACAATATTCTTTAGTTTTTCTAAGCTTTCAGGCTTCCCCATGATGGCTGAATCCACTAGATGCAATAATTCTGGAGAAACATTTGGCATTGCAGCTTTTGGTCTAGGCCTCTGAGGGGAATGAACTGGGGAATATCCAGATTCAGGGTGGTGAAAGGAATCCAGAGTATTTGATGAGTGAGACTGCTTCATGGAATAAGATATCTCTCTTTCTAGCCCAGCGCTTGAAAACCGATCACTTTGCTCATTATCCTTAGGGCCAGAACCATATTGCACCTCCTGTGTCTTCGATGAAAGCTTCCCTTCAGTGCCACCAAATGAAGACCTCCCATATTCAGAGAAGGAAGCTCTTCCGGACTCTGTAAGGTCGTCCTGTGGTTCAGTTGCAGCCTTATCTTGATCTCCCAAAGAGACCTGTTCAAAATGGTCATCCTTGAGGACAGCATCAAACGAACTGATCCCTTGTGACGCTGTGGCAATCTGTCCTACCCCAGAATTGTCATCCCGAACAGAACCAGAATTCTCCTGATCAAACGCTTCTATCCTATTCCCTACAGAACTAGGTAATTCGGCCACATCAGAATGTCTATCAGAAGCTTCTGTGAGCTTCTTTTCTTCATCTTCTTCCATGTTATTAACGCAAGGAGAACCTACGGAACAGTCATTCACAGCTTTCTCTCACCCACCACCTGATAAACAAACCAGAAATCAAGAATAAGTTTAGTCCAAGAGAACATTCGGACCCCTTGGTAGAAAAAACTGCGTTGACAACTAAAGCAGAGAAGGGAAAAAGATGGGCTTGGACAAAGAAATCATATGTTCACTCGGATCTACTAATAGTGACACATTAGAAATGAAACTATTTGCATAGAAATAACCGGAACATGCATTGTCCAGTTTACGATTTGTACGCCCAGGCACAAGAAACCTTCAGCAAAACATTGAATATGAGATCTCTGCCCTAGACCTATGCAGATCTTAACGAAGATCGGCCAGAAAGCTGCCAGATTTCCTACAAATACACACATTACCACGTATATGCACGGAAAATATTACAAGTCGATTTAGAAAACAAAAAGGGAAGAAAACCAAGAGACCAATGCCGAAAGAGAGTAAACACGGATCGGACCAGCAAAACGATCCATACAATTCCATAGCAATTGAGACGACTCACCAATCTGGTTGGATCGCCTTTCGGCCGCAGCCGCAAGCACCTAGGTGAATCGGAGAAGTGAGACAAGCAAAGACGAACGAGAGAGAGAGAGAGAGAGAGAGAGCGAGCGAGAGAGAGAGAGAGAAGACAATCGGAGAAATACCAGAGAAAGAAGGCGACTTGGGCGCGCACGAGAGGGAGAGCGACGGTGGATTTGCCGATTTGGTGATTTAGCAATTAACGCCCCGGGAAATAAAAATTACGAGCTTCTGAATTTTGGGCCTTTTCCTCTGCTCTGTACTGTGTCCATTCAAACAAAAAAAAAACAACTAGAGGAGTGGTTGAATTGAAATCTTGTCGTTCCCATACCAGTTGCGAATTTACTTTTGTTTTATTTGTCAAAATCAAAATCCAATTATTTAACTTGTATTGAAAAATATTATTCAATGAAAATATAGTTTTATTGGGCTTTATTGATCTAGATAGGCCCAAATTCAAATGTCGTCTGGAAACAGAGTCGCACAAAGCAAGTTCAAGGAAATTTGTCACAAATGGATCAAGAATTAATTACAAAATGCGAAGATCCCAAAAAAAAATACCAAACTTTCAAATTTAAAAAAAAATAATAAATTTTTTATTTTATTTTTAAGTTTGATAAAATAAATATTTAATCTTTTATAATTATCAAAATAAATAAAATGACGTGACACAATAACATACAAATACGTCATATTATTTTATTTAGTTTTTTTTATAATTGAAAAAAGTTCATATATATTTTTATCACTAAAAAAGTTCAGATTTTTTTTTATAATCGCAGAAAAGTAATTAAAAAGTTTAGTGTTTTTTTTTTCAAAACTAAAAAGTTTAGTATTTTTTTTTAGATTCTCTCTTACAAAATTATATTGGGTTCCTATATATTTATAATTCTAAGTATTAAATCATAACAAATATCTAATAATATTTTACAAAAACGAAAACCAAGACCAGTACCTTCGTCGTATTATGGACTAATTCGAGCAACAACAAAAAAATAGTATTAACTTTTTATCCACTAGGATTATCATTATCATTGTCACCCTTTGCAATTGCATGGTCACGCGATGAAATTTTTTCCCTGTCGTAACCGTTGACTTTGGCTTTTCGTCGATCCTACGGTTTATATTGATTTTTCACCCGCTCCATCGGTTTATCATTGTGATAGGTGTCAAATGGAAATGTGTGCATGACCAGTTTAACAAACTGATCAATACAAGTTTAAGTATCATATAACGGATTATTCTAAAATATCGCAACCAATAATTTTATTAGTTTTATGATCAATTCAATAGGCATCTAATTTTTATACTACATTACTGTCATGCTTTTTAACGAATAGAGTGGTTTCGTCAACGAGTCGACGGTATTATAATCTATCGATTTTTGTTTATCTTCACGTCTCATCTATAAATAATTTCTCTTATCAAATAAAAGTGTTTAACCACGTAGATTTTTTGTATGATCGAAGTTCCTTTACTTGCGCAATCGAATCATTATTGTCATAATAAAATTCAATGGGATTCACAATACTAAGAACGATCCTCATATCTCCAATAAACTTCCTGATCCAACCAGTGATATGATTCCTAGATCGAAAAATTCTCAATTAGGATAAAGGATAGTCGATGGATGTTACCAAAACCTCTTAATAACTCATTAATCAAACCTAGGAGTAGTTTCAATTCCTCATCACCCCTAGACTCAATTCAAACCTAGCTAAGAAACCTTGAAACAGGTAAAATACGCCACAAACACGAGTGGTAAATGTATTTGATAAGTCGAATGATATACTAGCAACTCAATCACAAAACCTAAAACTAGTACTAAAGAACAAGGAAGAATATCTCTCTCCTTTATTAGAAAACAAAAAATAATCCTCAAAACAATAGTCTCCATGTAAAATAAATCGTTCAAAATCTTAAATAGGTCAACAAACCCTAACAAAACAATAAAATACTAAAATTACATGTTTAAATAAAGGTCATAAAAGTTACGCATATCGTGTTAAATCTAATAGGTACATGTCAAATCTCTAATAAAATAACACCAAAATAATCGGAAGTAACACGATTCGACTTAGCACTAGTGCGACCCGCACCATATTTCTGAGTAAAACTTATTTTAATTTCGCTTGTAACTCGGTCTGCCTGAAACGCAGTAAGGGCCGAATCACTACAAAAAAAACACGCGATTTTCAACGAAATTTCAACGATATTTCAACGATAAAATCCGTTAAAATTTCGTTGATAATTTCAACGGATTGCCGTTGAGAATGTCGTTGAAACATTTCAACGAAATTCCAACGGATTTCGGTTGAAAAATTCAACGGATTTCGGTTGAAAAAATCGGTTGAAATTTTCAACGGATATTGGTTGAAAAATGATATTTCAACGGAAATCCGTTGCAAATTTCAACGGATTTTGGTTGAAAAAATTGGTTGAAATTTTCAACGGATATCGGTTGAAATTATTTACGAAATTTAGAAGAATTTTGGTTGAAAAAATCGGTTGAACTTTTCAACGGATTTTGTTTGAAAAATCGATTGGATATATATATATATATATATACAATATTTTATGTATACGTATATATGTTTAAACATGTATATATATATAAATATAAATATTGATACATATAAATATGTATATATTGTATATATATATGTATTTTATACTATAGTGATATGTTAGATATTGTGTATATTATATATATACGAATAAACATTTATACATATATTTACGTATAAATATTTTTATGTGTATATATGTATAATTATTTATACGTATATATATAAATGTTTATACTTGTATACACATATGTATAAGTATTTATATATATATATATATGTATAAGTGTATATATGTGTTTAAGTATTTATACATATTAACATTTGTATATATATATATGTATTAATGTTCTGTTATATCACAAATTTAACTTGGAGCAGTTGGAAGTGTGTTAATCAGAACTGTCCAGTTAAACGTGCTCGTGCTGGAGTAGTGGAAGGATGAGTGACCTATTGGGAAGTGGATTTCGAGTTCCAATTTCAGAGTTTCCGAAGTCAGATTGGATACAGAGACAAAGTTCAGATTAAGTCAGATTCGGGTTAGGGATCGAGGTCAAGTCGAAGTCGAGGTCAAGTCGGAGTCGAGGCAGTATGAGTTCGGGATCGAGAATACATTTTAAAATTTTCGTGAAATTTTCAACGGATTTCGGTTGCAAATTCCGTTGAAATTATCAACGAATTTCGGTTGAAAAGTTCGTTAAAATTATCAACGAATTTCGGTTGAAAATTCTGTTGAAAAATATCAACGGATTTCGGTTGAAAATTCCGTTGATATTTTCAACGGCTTTCAACGGAATAATTTTTTCAACGACGATATTGCAACGGAATTTATCCGTTGAAATTGTATAATTTCAACGGATTTTAGATCATTTTCAACGGATTTATCCGTTGAAATTGTCATGTTTTTTTGTAGTGAATCAATAGTGGCGTGGACCGAGTTAAAAATGACACGGTTCGTGTCACCTTTCTGAGCTCTCGAACTTGACTTATATAACTATTTTCGAAGTTGTCCGTCTTCGCTCTCATGATTGCTCCGCTTTGCTCGTGTTCATGTCAATGCCCTTAGGATGTCCTCATCAACCAGTTTCCTTAACCACATTCGATGCGAATATGTACTCAGACTCTCTAATCGAATTTGTGATGGTTGGTTATTTGTAACTCTTTCAACTAATAGTCTCATCATTTAAGTAGAAAAAATAAACCGACTGCGACATGAAAATATCTCTACCAAATTAGAAACTAATGTCGGTATAATCGTTTATAGAAAGTTCTCTTCTAATTCTCTATATATCAATAACACATCCTTAGTCCTTTTCAAGTATTTCATGATATTCTTGACTGTGGTCTACTGAGTCTCATCAAGTTCAGACTTGTATCTCTTGGTCATGCTCAATACGTATAATACATCTTGATAAGTATATAACATAGCGTACATGATAGATCCTATTGTCGAGATATACAGGATTCTACTTATGTGTTCTCGCTCATCTTGCATATAAAAATCACTGCCTAGTGAGATAAAAATATTTGTCGCAACATTTAAGAAAATCCAGTTTGTGATGAACTGCGAAGAAAACTGATGCGTCGGTACAATGTTGTTGAATATTCAAATCGATCGGCAATCCGTCACATGCGGCGACACTAAGTCTTGTTGAGAGTGGCGTTATGCCTCATATGCAAAGTGTCCCTTTTAAAGTCTTGCATATTGAAGCGATTCAAGACCTTGTCAATGTATGTTCTTGATTGAGGTGCGATTGATTGCGTATTGGATGCGAATCAAAATAATGAGTACTCATCTAAAACGAGTTACTAGATGACTCGTATAAGATTGTCACATGGACACGAACCAAGACTTGAATCTCATGTAGCATTTCATTCTTGGATCCTTAGACCTAAAATGTTTAGGGTATCTGACAAGAGGAGTAGCGTGTTTTGAATGTGTCAACATCGTCTTTAACCGGATGATCATAACCATGAAGTGACACTTCATAAACCATGAAGTGTCACTTCTCTCAATTGAACACGGGATTTTTCTGTTAATACATGTCTAACACTTTGGAAAGATTCGTCATACACACATCAAAGAAGGCCCTATGGATAGAGAAATTATCCATAAACACTTCTATAATATCTTCGATGTCATCCGAGAAAATCGCCATCATACAGCGTTGAAAAGTCTCAAGTGCATTATAGAGACCAAAAGACATATGTTTATAAGCAAAAATACCATAGTTGCAAGTAAACGTAGTCTTTTCCGAGAGTCGGATAAACAGAGATCTAGAAAAATCTGAGTATCCATTAAGGAAGTAGAAATAAAAGTGGATGAGTAAGCGATCGAATATCTGATCAATGAATGGAAATGGAAATTGATTTTTCCTCGTGTTGGTGTTTAATTTTTTGTAGTCCATACAAAAAATTAATCTGATCAAATAAAAATTTATTTCAAGTACTATATATATTGTTTTATATATAATCGAATTTACATCAAAACGTAACCACAACCATTATTAACTATTCACTTCTAAATCGCAATTATAAACAATCACTCCAATATCTTATCAACTTGTCAGTTTCAATTGCGTGCAATCGCCAACAATCGTCCAGAAAACATAACACTTGTGAACGCAACTACTGCGGTAAAATATAAAAAAATCGTTGAAATTGGTGTTTTGTATAAAATCAACCGCTTAATTGATAACCAAATGCAAATATCTTAATTTGTATAAGCATGAAAATTCAAAAGATTTTGTTGTAAAAGAAAAACCGTAAAACACAATATTCAACTCTCATCGTTAACTTTTTTTTAATTAAATCATGCTATATAATTATATTTTTTTATTATTTTGGATGATTACGATTTATGCCATTATTTCTCTAGAATGCTTAAGCTTGATCCAATTGTAGACCTAATTATGTTGATTAGCACAACAAATAATTAATGGATTGCTTACGTACAATCGTTAGCATCTGTTATATAGTTTTTATGCATTAGAAGAACTTATATGTATTATTACTTCTCTATATATAATTTCAATATACTAATTTCGTTTTAGGAAAGTAGTGGGGCTACATCGAGATTATAATAAAATACGAGGGCTAAGCGAGAAAATTTCCAAAAGTGAAATGAATGCAACTGGATTCCGAAACGAGCCGTTTCTCGCGTCTTTCTCCCCGCACTCGCTGCCGTTGTCACTCTCTCTCTCTCTCTGTGTCTGTGGCCTACCAACACTTCAATGAGATTTCTTAATTGTTTTCCCTGTTTCTTCTCTGACCAATCAATCTCGTGGAGATAAGTGCTGCTGAAACCTGTCGCCGGTTCGGAATAATCTTTCCATCGATTTTGGCGCGTCTTGAGCGAAGGATAGTCATTTTTTAGACGAGAATCGAAGGTATACTTTTGCTATTGCGTTTGCGTTTCTCGATCTCTAGGATTTCTGATCTTTCATTTGAGTTTCTCGGTAAATCATTGTGTTGGCTGCAGGAAAATGGGGCTGATTTCCGGGATTTTCTTCGGTGTGATATTCGGCATCGCTCTAATGGCTGGTTGGAGTCGCATGATGAGACACCGCACCTCCAAGCGAGTCTCGAAGGTTGGAGGAATTTTCCCGTTCTTGATGCATTGCGTCTTATTTGCTGAATTTGGATCTCTGAGATCAGCCTGTTGATTTGTCAAATTATGTAAAATCTGAGTTAGCTTATCTCCATTTTCCGGTTAAATTAGGATCACCGGAAGATAATTTTCCGGAACTAGAGATTTTGATTTTTTGCAACTGTGGGTTCCTCGTGAAATGGACAGTTTGTCTGGCCATGGAATTGATTGAGGCCTTTTAGCCATCTAACGAGAAAACAGTTTGTTGTAGCATCTTATATTCTTGAGATCACTAACGGGGAACCAATTTTACTTGGAGCTTGAGCTCTTGAAACATTTGGTTGCTGTTGGAGTCGCAGCAAATTTGGCTGAGCATATGTTCCTCCGCCTAATTCTAAATTGTTGAGAAGAGATAGGTCTTGGAAGGTTTCATATGCCAAGTCAGCGTTTATCCTCTGGTTCCACCTAGTGTGTCGTGGGACATACACTCATGGCTCTCGCAATGCGTAATTATTCGCTTAGATGTATGTTAGTTTTTACAGATTGTCTGCTGAAACTGTTTGGTCTCTGATGTGTCTCTCATGATCTTAGTTAATTAATGACTTGTGACAATGGGGCATCTTTCAGCTTCCTTGTGTAATGGCCTCTTCATCCTTTTTCTTCTGACAGGCTGTTGATATGAAACTTCTAGGCTCGCTTAGCAGAGAAGATCTGAAGAAAATTTGTGGTGATAATTTTCCTGGATGGATATCATTTCCAGCCTTTGAACAGGTATTGTCATCACGTGACTAATCATTGATAAAATGTTCATTTTGCATAGTTTGTGGCCGTTGTGTATGACATGCTTTAATTATAAATTATGCTACATAAATACAGGGTTTACCTTCTAGAAGTATCATAATTGAGAATATCTCTTGCTTTCACCTTTTTCCTTTTAAGTGTATCCAACGGATACTTTTACCTTGTTAGGCACCATCTGTTCCTGGCTTTTGCATGTATGAAAGTCTGGTTCAGTTTAATCATCCGAGTTTTCAGGGGATAACCAATACACCAAACTGTGAAACCTATGTGATGTTGCCTTTTCCTTTTCTAGGTTAAATGGCTGAATAAACTACTGAGCAAGATGTGGCCATACGTCGCAGAGGTAAGAATGTCACATCTTGTGTATTATTATCTGGTTCAAGTTGTCTGTCTCTATGATATGTACCTTGAATGGTGGAAACTGGATAGTGAGATATCCATGGAAGGATAGAGACATTATCTGCTCAAGCATTAAAGAAAAGTGGCTTTTCTGCTAACTGTTTGCTGGGATGAGATCTGGCGCGATTTAGTTTATCCTGAATTCCAAGGCTAGTAAGATGTTTTCCCTGGCCATGCATTCAGTGTCAAATCCTTGCAACAAAACTAGGCCTAACGCTTGAGTTCACGAAAGAAATCACTCGACAGAAATCAGTTTGCCTACTAGTGAGCATAAGCTATGTTATTCTGTTTACTTATTCCCAGGCAGCGACTCTGGTGATAAGAGAATCTGTTGAACCGTTGCTGGAAGAATACAGGCCTGTAGGTATTACTTCACTGAAGTTTAGCAAATTGACTTTGGGAAATGTAGCACCAAAAATTGAAGGTATGCTTACGTGGAGAGCCTTTATCTTTAGCTTCTTTTTTTTTGTAATCTATACATCCACATGTTTAGCAAAACTTTTGATTGTTTTTTACTCTCTTCCATTTTTTTCAACCTTGTGTTTCCCTTCCCATCCTTTTTGGTAAATTCTAATGATCTATTTTTTTAAGTACATTAACCATTCTATTACCATGAATTTCCATCATCTCTAGTTCAGGTTAGTTTTGTATCAAGATATGTGCATGCATGATTACTTTCTGTTGCAGGTATTCGTGTTCAAAGTCTCAAGGAAGGTCAAATCACAATGGACATTGATCTTCGATGGGGTGGTGATCCAAACATCATTTTAGGTGTTACAGCATTAGTTGCTTCCATACCCATTCAGGTTACTAAAGAGAAGTACATTACACTGCTTGTTTGCCTTTTCTGTAATGTAAGATTAGTACTTTGTTACACAAGAGAGATTGATTATCTCATCAAAGTTTTATTGCTGGCTGAAACAGTTGAAGGATCTTCAAGTTTTCACAGTTGCACGTGTCATCTTTCAACTTGCTGAGGAGATTCCCTGCATTTCTGCTGTTGTTGTTGCTCTACTTGCTGAGGTACCTTTGCATTTGAATGATGCAGAACCAGGCTACTTTTTTTCCTAAAAATAGCTGAGGCTAATCTGATGATGACCAACTCCTTTGTGATCTTAACCAGCCAAAACCTAGAATTGATTACACTCTCAAGGCAGTTGGTGGAAGTTTAACAGCCATTCCTGGGCTCTCTGATATGATTGATGTAAGTGAAGCAGTTCTAATGGAGTTACTGTAGTTTATTGTTGGACTAAGATGCATCTTCTAAATATGCTTCCTTCCCTATTTGTGTGCATTCCATAGGATACTGTCAAATCTATTGTCGAAGATATGCTTCAGTGGCCTCATAGAATCGTTGTCCCACTTGGTGGTATTCCTGTGGACACGAGGTAAACTCTTTGTGCTTACGATCGATCTTGCTATTATCAACCCTTTTACCGTATCTCCTCTTCTTATTAGCCATATGCTTTTTCTGAGGATGTTGGATGATATAGTGGAAGAATATGCCATTGATATAGTTTGTCACCTATTTCTATCTCTTTCTTCTTCCAGCGAACTGGAGCTTAAACCACAAGGGAAGTTGACAGTAACAGTAGTCAGAGCAAGTAACTTAAAGAACATGGAGTTGATTGGAAAATCTGACCCTTATGCCGTGGTATATATTCGGCCTGTATTCAAGTATAAAACAAACACCATTGAGAACAACCTGAATCCAGTTTGGGATCAAACATTTGAGTTGATAGCAGAAGACAAAGAAACCCAATTTCTTACTGTAGAGGTTTGTAATCGAAACTATATATATTACTCATGCTTGCACACCTTATCTTTCGTTGTTAACATGATTTCCCTTGTTCTTATAAACTTTGACAGGTTTTTGATAAAGACGTTGGTCAAGACGAGCGTTTGGGACTTGCAAAACTGCCTCTGATCGGGCTGGAAGCTGAGGTTGCGAGGGACTTTGAACTCAACCTGCTGGCTTCACTTGATACTTTGAAAGTGAAGGACAAAAAAGATAGAGGAAGTATAACCCTTAAGGTAGATTTTGACAGGGTTCTCCTCACAACTATCACTTTGTTCTTGTTTTCCATCGGTGTCTTAAATCAAAATCTTTTACTTTAGGTGCATTATCACGAGTTTAACAAAGAGGAGCAGTTGGCTGCACTGGAAGAGGAGAAGAGGATACTGGAGGACAGGAAGAAACTGAAGGAGGCAGGGGTAATAGGTAGCACTATGGATGCAGTGGGAATGGTGGGTAGTGGGATAGGTGCGGGTGTAGGAATGGTGGGAACGGGGATTGGGGCGGGAGTAGGGTTGGTGGGAACGGGCCTTAATTCTGGAGTCGGGATTGTGGGGAGTGGGCTTGGAGCTGTTGGAAGCGGACTGAGCAAAGCCGGGAAATTCATGGGTAGAACCATAACAGGTCACTCCAGTAAACGCAGCAGCGGGTCCTCCACACCTGTGAATAGTGTCCAAGAGAACGGTGGTGCAAAGCCTTTAAAGCAGTAGTTAGCAGTTCTCAGCAACTTTCTTTCCCTTTCTGGCTCTGGTCATACAGTTACTAAAAACTCACTTCTTTTTCTTCTCTTTTTGTTACCAAGCTTGTTTCTTTTGGATTCTCTGAGTAAGTTGAAAACATTTGCTCGAGTTTGGTTTTTCGTCACCAACATAGCATATTCTTTTGTGTTTATTATAGATAATTATGGGGAACTCGCATGATTAGAGTTTTGATTTTAATTATGTTTCCTAGTTATTTGCATAGATATAAGCGTCTTCTTTGTATATATCGCCTTTACATATAGCATTCTGAACGCTTTTTGTACAAAAGTGTATGAAGGAACAGTCCGTAAACTGTGGTTAAGGCTCATGAATTGGTGTTTTTCTTCTGATTCTATTTTCACGTCCTTTACTTCAATTTTTTTTTTATTGAATGTGAATCAACCGAAAAAGGCCAACATCAGTTTCTTACAAAAAGAGGCATTTACAAAATATTTGAGATGAGAGCAAACCTTCTTTTTTTAGGAGTTATTTGCAAAGTTGATGACAACAATGACAAGTTTTTTTATCAAAAAAAAAAAAAAAACAATGACAAGTTGTCCGGTTATTGTTCTGTAGTGAAATGACAGTTTTAAGGAACAGGGAATATGTGAGATGAGAGCAAACCTTCTTTTTTCTCTTTTTTTATGTTCCAACGTTTTCGTGGTATTTACCAACATATATACCTATGTGATATACTGATCAAATTCCCATGATTTTTAGGGTATTCGAATTCGAACTCGAATGTTTCGAGTTGTATATTTTATTATCCGAATTTGTATCTGTGAAGTTGACTATCTGAATCCAAAAATCTACGAAATAATTTTCAGATATTCATCAGTATCTAAACACGGATATTTTTAATTATTTTCGATCAATTTTTTAATTACACTTATATATATATATTCAAATTCATTCCAAATCAATTAAAAATATATTTATATCAAAATAAATTCAAAATTCTTAAAAAGATGTCATAAATCTATTGAATAATATCTATATATAATCATTAAAATCAAATAACACAATATAAAATATAAAAATAATAGTTTATATAGAAGAAATATTATAGATTTACCTATTAAATTATGAATAAAAGTGAAAAAAATGTATTGATAATGAGTTAAATAATCACTTTAAAAGATTATATGTATAAAAATATATTTGTAAATACACTAAACCTTACAAATTAAAAGATAATTTTGTATTGCCCATATATTTATAGATACCCACGAAATAATATTTATTACCCGAATGCGAATTCGAAAACCCGGATATTCTATTATTATTATCGATCTCATATTCCATTTTTTTTAATACTCGATATTTCGGATATCCGACTCGTGAATCGAGTCGAATATTCGAATCGAATCGGATATTCGAAATTCGGGTTTTTTTGTCCGCTACTAATACAATGGGTTTGTATTGCATCTGGAATCGATGATGGTCTGGTATCTCATTGTCTTTGTTAACGTCTTATTGCATTTGGTGGCCCAGCTCCGATATATAATGATTCGATAGATAATTATCATTTGAAGGTTTGGCTAAAACATGATTTAAATTGTTAGCCTTTGATGATTAGTATTTTATTTAATGGAAAATATCCTTCAACCTCCGGGGCACTTTCCCCTCTCTCCCTGCGCCGATAACTTCGACGGCGGAAGATGGCGGACGGCGGTGCCAATGCTCCATCTTCCCCACCGGAAAACGGCGGAGAGTTTCTATGGTCTCTTTTGCATCGACGACCTTGTCCGCAGGGTCCTGATCCTTTGACCACGCCGCCGTCGGAGCATCCATCCGTCGCTCTTGATCCGGCAGTCGCCGCCGTTGGCCGTAAAGGCCCCGCCTTTCCGCCGCTGCATTTGTCGTCCGACGGCTGTGACCTCCCCGGTACGCCCACTCCTCCTTGGCCGCACTCTCTTTCGCCGCCTAATCTTCCACCCGGTTTGCTACGGCTCTCTCAATTTCCACTTAACTCTTTTCCTGCAAACCGTTTTGACGGTAATCAGAGACTATTGGGGGAAGATTCTCATAGATTAGGCTTTCATGGCACTGCGAATCACGCAATTCAGTCCGTAGTACAGCGGCAGCAGAAGCCGCCACCATCAGCCGAGCAGCCGAAGCTCGTGTGTGGGTCGCTCTCTGCGGACTCTATCCAAAATCTAAATGGTTCATTGAATGGGAGCTTGGTTTATGATTCTAAACTTCGTTCGGGCAAAGATCATGAACGGCATATGAGGCATCCTCCATCTGTTATCTCCAATACAAACTCAGGTTCGAACTGTTCCCGAAGTCAAAACTTGGATCATCATGAGCGTAGGGGAGGTTATGGAGGCCGGGGAAGCATGGGTCACAGTGCAAATAACGGCTGGAATTTCAACTCTACCCTGCCTCCGGGATTTGCAAATAAGCAACGAGGGTGGGATAGGAGTTTACATGGAAACAAGGACGGTAATAATATCAATGGAGACTCTATCCAAAATCTAAATGGTTCATTGAATGGGAGCTTGGTTTATGATTCTAAACTTCGTTCGGGCAAAGATCATGAACGGCATATGAGGCATCCTCCATCTGTTATCTCCAATACAAACTCAGGTTCGAACTGTTCCCGAAGTCAAAACTTGGATCATCATGAGCGTAGGGGAGGTTATGGAGGCCGGGGAAGCATGGGTCACAGTGCAAATAACGGCTGGAATTTCAACTCTACCCTGCCTCCGGGATTTGCAAATAAGCAACGAGGGTGGGATAGGAGTTTACATGGAAACAAGGACGGTAATAATATCAATGGAGCTTTCCCGAGAAATCCCATTGGTATAAAGGGCGACCCTTCTAATTTAAGCGGCAGAAGTTTCAATTCAGGTGTTGAAGATAATAAATTAAGGAGTTTACACGTCCAGAATGGGAGCAAGTTCAAGCTCAGCCAACAGCTTGGTCACCCTGGACCGCCAGCAGGTAGCAGCCTACACCCTGTGTCAGCATCTGATGCTGAGGATTCCTTTTCGACCTTGAACAAGGATGCTCATGGTGAGGGAGGAGGCAAAGAGAATTTGAAGCAGGATACTAGACCAAAAAGGGAGGTCAGTGGAGATTGCGAGACAGTTGATAATGAGATCGAGGATTTCGGAGAAGATCTAGTGGATTCTTTACTGCTTGATGATGAAGCTGGAGATAAGAAGAATCGTCGAAATCATCGTGACAAGGTGGGTTTCACTTCTGTGTTTTCCCAAATGTGCTAGTAAAATTGTGTAAAGCTTGTAGTTGTGCCGAATCGCCAGTTTAAACTGAGTTCCTTTCATGGATGATATGTTGCAAGATAAAAAAGATGTGTTTGTCAAGCAGGGTTTCCTATTCGAATATCTTTTCCATGTCTACAGTAGGTAGTTTTGAGCTGGCAAAACTTTATACATTTTGTCTGATTGGACAATGATTATGAATTTTGTTTCCAGGTATCAAGAATCGATGACAGAGGACAGTGGCTGCTTAGCCAAAGGTTTAGAATGCTTAAAATGCATACGGCATGCCGAAGTGACATCCACAGACTAGATGCTCGCTTTCTTGCAGTTTACCAGTCACTATTTCCTGCAGAGGAGGAGCTGGAGAAGCAGAAACAACTATTAGCATTGCTAGAGAGATTGGTTAGCAAAGAATGGCCTCAGGCTAAATTGTACCTGTACGGGTCATGTGCTAATTCTTTCGGCTTTCCTAAGAGTGACATTGATGTTTGCCTTGCAATTGAAGACGCTGATATGGACAAGTCTGAGATGTTGCTAAAACTGGCTGATGTCTTGGAATCAGATAATCTCCAAAATGTGCAGGTGAATAAATGCTTTTTAAACCTTTGACTCTTTTGTGTTAAATCAACATACTAACTGGGTCCTTCAACTGATATTGGTAAGTTTCTGAACCTTGATTGAACTCTGAAACCAAACCCACCTTGGATGAATTTGATTACAGAGAAGTTCCCAACTCTCTCTCCTTACTCTGCAACCATGCTCCTGCTTTGTTTTTGAACTTATACACAGAATGACATTATTATTGTGGTGATATTTTGACTAGAAGAATTTCTATGTAGGCTCTAACGCGTGCCAGGGTCCCAATAGTAAAACTAATGGATCCAGTTACTGGGATTTCCTGTGATATCTGCATCAACAATGTCTTGGCTGTTGCGAACACAAAGCTTCTCCGTGATTATGCTCGGATAGATGCACGGTTGCAGCAGTTGGTTTTCATTGTGAAGCATTGGGCAAAGTCAAGAAGAGTTAATGAAACTTATCAAGGAACATTGTCCAGCTACGCGTAATTTTTTTTTTCCTTACCTTAAAAGCAAATGCTGAACAATCTAGTCTTCGGATTTATCAGCTTGCAATAGCATTAGATGACTTGAGACATATTGTTACCTTTTGCCATAAGCATCAACAGCTAATTTCTAATTGATTTTACAGGTATGTTTTTGATGTGCATTCATTTCTTACAGCAGCGTAGGCCTGCAATTCTTCCGTGCTTACAGGTGTGTTTCCGCTCTTTATTTCAGCAGCCGTAACAATTTTTCAGCGATATGTCTGGTTGTTGCTCCATTCTTAGTTTGTCATATTTATTGATTTGTTCACTCTCTACCAATATTTGGATGTGAAGTAGTTTCTGATCCATTAACGGTTCATAGCTTAATTGTCTTCCTGCGATGATAAAAGTGTATTGTCTCTTCCCCAATACCCCAACCATTTATTGGAAGTAGAAAGCCATGTAAAAGTACTATCCAAACGAGTGAAGGAAGTTTATAATGAACTCATTTACGGGAGATAGGGATTCGTCTTTTGGATGTCTTCTCAGCCATTTAAAATTCTCATGCTGGTGACTTTCTGTGGACGTTCTCTTTCAGGAAATGGAGGGTAGGGAATGACCGGCATTTGATATGCATAGAAGACCCGTTTGAGACGAGCCATGACCTGGGTCGGGTAGTGGACAAATTCAGCATCCGCGTACTGAGGGGAGAATTCGAACGAGCTGCAGAGATCATGCAGCATGATCCAAATCCATGCGCAAAGCTTTTAGAACCCTATGTTAGGGAAGTAACAAACAACTAAAGGGAACTTGGTAGATGTGTATATATATCAATGCAATGGTGCTTTGAGAGTTATATGCTCTTGTCTTTTTCTTTTGGTTTTGGTTGTTTCTTCCGTAGAGAAGTTCCCCCATGGCATTATTTGATCTTAAACTTTTTCTAGTTTTAGTTTGAAGAAATTTGCGCTAAATATGACAATTTTGGAGAGAGATTTAAAAAGTATATTTTTTTATTTTTAAAAATTATATTTTTGTATAAATTTTTATTAAAAGTGAAAATCATACATTAAAATTTTCAAATAAATATATGAGCTTTTTTGAATTTCTATATTAAACTCTGAGAATTTTATCTATATTTATATAGGTATAGTGTAAAATTATTTTTAAAATAATTAGTACTTTTGTATTTAGAATTATTTGTAGAATTACTTTTTTCGTAAAAATAAAAAACTCTAATAACAAATCAGATTTTTATGTTAATAATCTAAAAAAGGTGTTTTTTTTTATTTTACAAAAAGGTAATGACTTATCCAGATTTTAGAAAAAGTAAAATAATAAAATTTTGATTGGAGAATTTTTTTGGATTTTTAACTAACTATAGCTCGGAAATCCAGCTTTTATACCGAGAAACTGTAGTTGAAAATATTGAAGCTTTTCTCCAACAAATCCTTAAAAATTAGGGATGGACATTTCGATTTGGTTTTGAAAAATTGAACTGAGCCGAAAATATAACATTTTTTTCGATTTGAAAGGTTCTAAATTCTTGAACGATATTATTTTTAAAAAATCGAATTTTTTGTAATCGAACTGAATCGAATTTTAAAAAAATTTTGAGAACCCAAAATTTTTATTAAAAAAATCTATTTTTTTTAATAAAAAATGAAATGGAAAGCGAATCAAACATAATATAAAATCAATTGGTACGTATTTTTATAAAATTAAAAAAAATGAACGGAATGCATTCCTTCCAAATTTTATTGATTTGTGTAGACTTTTTATCACATGTAATATTATAAAAATATCCTTATTTTGTTATATGCATTCCAAAACATACTCTTTTATATTATTTTTTGTGTGATCTATATAACCCTCGTAACTTATTTTAAAGTCATGCTGCACTAATCACATCGTTAAAACTAAATGATACTCACATCAATAATATTGATCATACGTTAAATATTATATGATCAGTGTAACTATTATATAAATTAGTCACATAAAAATATATTAAATATGTTATGAAGTTTATGGTCTTTTGGCTTTTTCTGTCATGGGTCACGCTCACGCTGTTTCACCAACTACCATTATCCCATTCTGTCTGTACTATTTTGAATACGTTAAAAAGCATGCATGTTGTGCAATAATAGAATGGGGATTACGACAAAATAAAATGTTAATTGTTTATTAGGAATGTTATAAGTTGGTTCGATTTTGTCTAATGCTCACCATGACGGCCCATGAGAGACATCAACACGATGAGAACGAAGCCTCTGAGGATCTGCCACGTGTCCTCATCCCCAAGCTTCCCATCTCTCTTTCCGCGCTCGGCGACCGGGCCCTCGCCTCTGACAAGTTCCGCCTTCTCAAAGCCTACGAGTCAAATCTTCCTCTCCCCCAATTCCTGGCCGCTCATTCCCGGTCAGTCTCCGCCATTGTCGCCGCTCCGAGCTCACCGGTCACCGCCGATCTGATCAGTCTCCTCCCGGCGCTGCGTTTGGTTGTTACGACCAGCATCGGCGTCGATCACGTGGACGTCGACGAGTGCCGCCGGCGAGGCATCTCCGTCACGAACGCCGGCTCCGTCTTCTCTGAGGATGTTGCCGACACGGCCGTCGGTTTGCTCATCGACGTTCTCCGGCGGATCTCCGCCTCCGATCGGTTTGTCAAGCGAGGGCTTTGGCCGATCAGAGGGGATTATCCCCTCGGATCCAAGGTAATTTACTATTCTTATGTTTATGTTTCTTCTCTCCGTAAATTGTTCTCTGATCCTGATTTGGTTGATCACAACGGAAAAACGAGCTGAGTAATGGGTAGATGCTCCCAAGGAATACTTGGGCATGATTTGTGGTTCTGCGATTTCTGTGCTGCCTTCCTGATAGATAGATTCCAAAGAGCAGCAACCTGGTGTTTTCTCCTTTACGATCATTTTCCATTGCAGTTGAGAGGGAAGCGTATAGGGATTGTTGGATTGGGAAGCATCGGCTTAGAGACGGCTAGAAGACTCGAGGCCTTTGGCTGTCGGCTTTCGTATACATCAAGGACCCAGAAACATTCGATTCCGTATCGTTTCTATGCAGATACACGAGATCTCGCTGCCAATAGCGATGCACTTATACTCTGCTGTCCATTGACTGAGCAGACAAGGCATATGGTCAATAAGGAAGTGTTTTCCGCCATGGGAAAGGAAGGAGTGATCATAAACGTTGGACGTGGAGGTGTGATAGACCAGAAGGAGATGGTCCATTGTTTGATGGAGGGTGAGATCGCGGGTGCTGGTTTAGATGTGTTTGAGAACGAACCCAATGTGCCTAAGGAGCTCTTTGATTTGGATAACGTTGTCTTGCTGCCACATACTTCTGCAATAACATTACAGGGCTTTGAAATGTTGAGGAATATTCTGGTCGGGAATTTAGAAGCTTTCTTCTCTGGCAAACCCTTGTTAACTCCTGTTCTTGATTGTCAACATTTGTTGACTTGTTCCCCAAGTTGTATTGACTCGAAATAAATTTTACATGGCTTTATATATTGATGAATCTCAATTTTTTCCCTGTAAAAAAAAAATGGTTGGTTCTTGTGTCCTCCATTCAGGGACCGTCCTTGATACTAAAGAATAATGTGGTTTGGTTATCCAGATCGGAAGGAACACGTTTCTCATGACACAGGTCAATTTTCCTCTTCACAACCTGTGCTCATAGCCTGAACTAGCTGAACTGAGTATGCAATTGTTTTCGCCTAACCAAGCACTACAAGAAACATCCGAAATTCGACGGAAAATTCCGTCGTAAATATAAAAAAAAACCGTCCCAATTAAAAATTTACGACGAACAGAACAATTTCCATCGGTATGGCGCTATCACAAACGTTTGTGGGTCGTTAATCCTTCACAAAAATTGCTAAGGGAAAAATTTACGTTTTGCGATGGAAAGTGACGGATAATTCTATCGCAAATTGACACAGAATGCGATTGAAAAATCCATCGCAGATATTTTTTAATTTAAAAAATATAAAATATAATATATTATACATAAACACATATACATATGCATTCATATATACATATAAATTTATATGCCGAGTCTAAAATATATAACCCGATTCACTTACCGCAAGGGTACGGATCGTCGTAATACGAGGTCGAACGCAAGGACCGATAGCTAGATCTAAATCTAATAGAGACTAAATCAAAGGTAAGCAAGTGAAAGTGATGGATATATGTGGAATCAAGAGAAAAGAATAGAAAAGCAAAACAATAAGAGAATGTGAACTAGCAATCAAAGATGACCATCGATATCGGGATCCGTATTCGAGTGGATGAGTATCTACGAAGCATGCAAAAATAACGATATCATACTTGTATTCGGGGATCATCAAACAACAAGGATCGAGAATTCACCTCTCGATCTACCAACTCACTATCTAAAGAATAACTCATCAATCCCTCGATCTATTCAAGTTAATCCTAGATGCATGAAGAATGTTATCATCCACCCTAAATTGATTAAACCATATCTCTATGTGAATAATACGATTCGTTCATCAACTTTGATCCGAAAGTAAACTCATATCTCTATGTGATTCAGATTCTGAAACTATTGATCAAATGGTTAGCAAACACCAATAGAAAAGAAAGCACAAATTGATAAACCGAAATAAGCACAATGTCGCAAACCAAGATAAGGGTTCAAACATGCCCAGACACAAATGAATCTCTAACCCACAATCATGGATCTACTCACGGTTCATGGAAAAACACAGAGAATAACTAGAAACGGAGATAAAAGAAAGGAAATAGAGATTCATGTCGATAGACGATGCGATCTCCACATTCCAATCCTCTTTCTTCTTTCCAAAATCTCGTCGACTCCTATTTCTCTCATCAAAAGCTCTTCAAAGTCCGTCTCTCCTCTTTAGGACGTCTTTAAGCCTCTTAAATAAATCCTAAGTGGTGTTTTCCAAGTCCTCCTCTCATTCAAGCTCTTTAAAACACGAATTAGGGTTTTTCTTCGACACGCTATACACTCCTATGCACAAGGGAAAAACACCAGGTAGGCTCCCACACCCAAACAACACAAGGTCAAAATCAAAGAAAAATACAAAAAGGTTCAAAACACCTAAGCTATACAAAATGGCTCGGGTTATCTCCCGAGAAAAGTTTCTTTATGGTTGATAGCTAGACCGTGTGTGAGCTCAGACTGATGGTGGTATCTCAAGAGATAGAATGCCTCTCTCTCCTATGGGGTCGGATGGATTGTACAACTTCAGATGCTATGCAACTGCCTTGAACGTGCCACTCATGCTGTCGTATAGTTCTACTGCTCCGTGGTCGAAAACTCGATGAATCTTGAAACGTCCGAACCACTTGGACTTCTTCAACTTATCTAGAAACATTTGCAAACGAGAGTTGAAGAGAAGAACAAGATCATCTGGGTGGAATGACCGTTAGAAAATATGTCGATCGTGCCATTTCTTCATTCTCTCCTTGTAAATGATGAGAAATGAAAAACCAAATGCATAAATATATTACATAATTCAATAATTATTATTATTAGGAGTGGGCATTCTGATTGGGTCTCTCGAAATCGAAGTAAATCGAATTGAAAAATTAGTTACCGTTCTCGAACCAAACAATCAACAGTATAAAATGGTAACTTTTTTAAAACTGAATATCCTAGAACCGAACAGAATATTAAAAAATCCAAAAAAAATGGAAATATTATTAAGAAATGTACATTTTATAATAGAAACCGAAATCGAAACAAAGCAATCGAATATAATAACCGATCGATACTGAAACACTCATCCCTAATGGATATCGTGTTTATGAAAGATTATTTATAAATTTGTATATTAATATGTGATTTTTCCTTATAAACAATTACATCATATACATTTTACATTCTTTCAAATTGATACCCGAATGTGAATTTATTAAACAAAAAATGGGTTTGTCTAGAAGACGATCATTAGACTATATACAGAAAAAATAGGGATACTCATTGGGTAAAATAAATATATAAACCAAAAAAGGGGTTTGTTTACTAGCCGAATTTCATTCAGGTATCTAGAATGACTACAAAAGATATAGTTGTTCTGTTCCCGCCAAAGTTAGTAAGTAGCAATTTATGTGATTAGCCTGGTAAGTGGTTGTTCGATTCTTTTTTCGATTATGGTTGGACTCGTAAATACAATTAATATAATATGAATTTCTAAAAAACTATAAATGAAATGCTTTCAAATATTTTTTGGGATTGTCTATGAATTTTTACGCATCTAAATTTTGTAAAAGGTTATAATTAAAGGGGTCGCGATTTCAAAATCTTTTTATATATCAAAAACCTTATATATCTTTTTCCAAATTACATAATAAAAAGTGAAAAACTAAATTAGAAAATATATTTATAGTTATTACATTGTACCTTTGGTATATCAAAATTTGCATTGGAATCTAATGGGCCAAAAGATATATCAAAATCTACTGATTTTATATAATTCTTTAATATTAATTTCTTAAATTACATGGTGATCATATACTATTTTTGGTTTACTATGTGAAAAATAAATTCAACGTCAGTCAAAATTATATAAAGAATTTTGATTTATTTATTTGCAACTACATTTTGATTTAATAATTTGGATGTATCCATTATACGATACAAACTTATGGTAAAGAAATATTTATATCTCTATTCGAAATAGGATGTTGTAGTTCAGTGTAGTACTAATGGTAGAAACAAATAATTTTTATTAAAAATAGTAATTATATTGATTAGGCATAGGTTATTATTTTTACTTCGTTATGGTGATTGGTGATATATATGGAGGACATTAATCTTGTCTTATTTTTTTCCATAAACTGTTAGAAAAACTATGAAATGGGTTTGAATACAACGGTAAAGAACAACAAAACAATAAAATCGAAATAAAGATGAAACAACCCGGATATAATCTTCTATGCGCGTAGAACACTTTCCTAAAACGTTATTCCCTCCCCTACCGAGCAAAGGAGAAAACCTGAGAATACGTTTAGAGATACAAAGAAGATCAGCAACGATTGATTTGCTCCTCAAACGTTGCCCAAAACAGAAAAACCCGAGAAAGAAGATGAACAATAAAAGATGGAGAAGAAGTAGCAAGTTTCTTCACCAAAAAATGCTCACAAATCTCTCAAGATCAATTAGATTTCGTATATTCACATTCTCTGACGTTCATGCGAAAGGCTGCATTTGTTCATATTACAGACATTTAACACGGTCGTGTCGAATCTGACACGGTCCGTGTCAATTGTCTGTGCAAAATTAACACTCTCTCAGAGAATTGACACGGTCCGTGTTGCACCTTAACACGGTCCGTGTCGAATCTGACACGGTCCGTGTCAATTGTCTGTGCAAAATTAACACTCTCTCAGAGAATTGACACGGTCCGTGTTGCACCTTAACACGGTCCGTGTCAAATGTCTGAGAAAAACAGCATTTTCTTAGAGAATTAACACGACCTGTGTTGAACCTAACACGACCGTGTTGTAATTAACACGCCCGTGTTACATGCCCGTGCAGAATTTCTGCACTTAAATTTCACTACTAAATACAAGTATATACTTTACAACATACATGTATATACTTTACCAATTCATACTATATCATTTACGAATATATATAACTCCTCCACCATATCCGTAATACATATAAATATGAACCACATGAGAGATTCATTAAATCCATCAATTTACTCTAAAATAAACAACAATCCTCCACCAATTTAGAGTAAATTATCCATGGAAACCGAGCGACAATCCGTCATCCCCACAACTTTGTGCATAAATGAAAGTATCTTTCGATTGAACTTCCACTTAGTGTAACGTACAACAATAAACTCGAATTACATAGGTGTCGAAACGATTAAACCTAGTAATCCTTATTGAGCTACCGAGTACAAAACACACACAGAGCCGATACAAGTTTTTTTGCGATCCTTGACACTATAATGGCCATGTGTCCATATCCATTCACAAGCACATGGATGTTGAGCCATTAACATCTTGAAGCGGCCTCACTTCATGCTTGTATAGGTGAATCCTTTCTGATATCGTGCCCTGCAACTAAGCACTTTGTCAAAGAACTCATTAAGTAAGAACATCCTCCTTACATTGCATAACCTAGATGCTTACCTCGGGATGAGTAATTGTGAAGCATCTACAATTACATAGTAAAGGATTTAACTCGTTGAACTCAAGATCTAGCGTTGTACTAGACGTTGAGTTGAGATTCCTTTAATTGTAATTCATAAAACCGGCTCAAGTCCCATCCCTTGTGACATTGTGTGGACCATGTCCCTTGGCAAGCTTTTTGTAAAAGCATCCGCCAAATTTTGTTTGGTCCGCACAAAATCCACCATTATGGCCCCGTCTTTAATAAGACCATTCACATAGCTATGTCTTAACCCGATATGTCTAGACTTTCCATTGTAAACATGGCTATATGCCTTAGCCAATGTCGCAGCACTATGACAATGTATTGCAATAGGCGATACCGGTTTAGGCCATAACGGTATTTCGAATACCAAATTCCTTAGCCATTATGCTTCTTTCCCAGCAGCCGCTAAGGCGATAAATTCCGACGCCATGGTCGAATCCGAAATGCAAGTTTGTTTCTTGGAAGCCCAAGAAATCGCCGCTCCACCTAAAAGGTAAAGCCATCCACTAACCGAGGCATAATCCTCTTCACTAGAGTTCCAACTCGCATCGGTATATCCTTCTAACACCGAAGGTTGACCCGTGTAGCGTAGACCATAATCAATTGTCTTTTTCAAGTACCAAAGTACTCTCCATATAGCATTCCAATGATGTACGCTTGGGTTACTCGTGTATCTACTCAACTTCCCTATTGCGTATGCTATGTCGGGTCGAGTGATAGTCATAGCATACATCAAACAACCAATGACACTAGCGCACTCAAGTTGAGCTACCAGTTCCCCATTATTAGGTGCAAACTTAGCGCTACAATCCATCGGAGTAGAAGCCGGAGGACTTTCAAACATATCAAATCGTTTTAACACTTTCTCTACGTAATGTGATTGAGATAGTGTTATTGAACCTCGATCCCGTTTTATCCTAATGCCTAGGATAACATCAGCATCACCTAAGTCTTCCATCGAAAACTTCGATGACAAAAAGTCTTTTGTCTTCTTGACTTGCTCTAATTCTGTACCGAATATGAGCATGTCATTCACGTATAAGCAAATGATAACTCCATGACCGTTATCATCAAACCTGCTATATACACACTTGTCTGATTGATTCAGACGAAATCCATTAGCCAAAACGACCTCATCAAACTTTTGATGCCATTGTTTGGGTGCTTGTTTCAACCCATACAACGATTTGACTAACTTGCACACCTTGTGTGCTTGTCCCGATAGGATAAAACCTTCTGGTTGTTTCATATACACCTCTTCTTCTAGATCACTATTCAAGAATGCCGTTTTGACATCCATTTGGTGGATCACAAGATTGTTTATCGCTGCAAGAGCGATCAACAATCTTATCGTAGCTATTCTAGCTACCGGTGCATACGTATCAAAGAAATCGATACCTTCTTTTTGTCTAAAGCCTTGAGCTACTAGACGAGCCTTGAACTTATCAATAGTTCCGTCGACTCTCATCTTCTTTTTGAAGATCCACTTGATTGTTTATCGCTGCAAGAGCAATCAACAATCTTATCGTAGCTATTCTAGCTACCGGTGCATACGTATCAAAGAAATCGATACCTTCTTTTTGTCTAAAGCCTTGAGCTACTAGACGAGCCTTGAACTTATCGATAGTTCCATCGACTCTCATCTTCTTTTTGAAGATCCACTTACAACCAATCGGTTTACAACCTGAAGGAGGATCTACTAAGACCCAAGTGTTGTTGCTCATGATGGAGTCCATCTCATCATTTATCGATTCTTTCCAGAATACGACATCCTGCGATCTCATCGCTTCATCAAAAGTCCTAGGGTCTCCCTCGATATTGTAAACATAAGCGAGTTGAGTCACGATCGACTCATTAGTACCTACTACTAGGTACATATGAAAGTCCGGACCAAAGGTTTT